AGAGGTGAGAAGATGGGGGAGGAAGGGGGAAGAGGGGGGATAAGACAATGTAAGGAACACAAGGAAATTTGTCACAACTAAACTGCTATTAGCCACCATGTCAGCAGAGGGGGCTCTGACGCTTTACGTAAGAGAGTTATCCACAGGAGCCATTTTCTATACACACAGAACTGACTGCCAGAAAGGCAGGCAGGCAGACTGCTGCTCGGGGCATATTTGGATGGTGCACAAACACAGACCAATGAGTACGAGCCGGCACAGCTTGTGTTTATGCACACTGTCATGTAATTGTAACATTGAGACATAATGGTTTTCGTCCATCCTTCAAAAATCGGCACACAGTAGGGGAAATGTTCTTTGCGTCCGCAGTGCATTTAATCAACATCTCAGATACATTGGTTTTGATTCATAAATAAAAGATTGTTATGCATTACTTAACATGCGCATTGACAGTGAAACATCAACAGTTTCTGCAGATACAAGCCATTGAACCAAAGACAAGTGTTTTAGATGTACAAAACTGCAGAGGACAGGGTTCTGTGATACTGAAGCAAGTTATCTTGTTTATTCCAAACAAAGAACCGTACTGCAAACCCCCCCAGATCTATTCTGTTCTCAATGTTTAATCATAATGCAATTTGCTCCTTTATTTCTGATCTGTCGCCTGAGCCTGGACTCCATTGAAAACGGAGAGTATGAAGGAGATTTCCCCGCACAGTTAAATAATCGTAGTGATGGTAGCCAAAGATGTAATGTTTGTGAAGCAGACAGTACATTTTAAAAAAAGAACTACAGTATATCGTTCGGGTTTTTTTTTATTTTTATGGAGCAGACATTTGAGACATGTTCTTACTCATGAAAAATTTAAACATAGTATGCGCTTTGAATAAGTGTAAAGTTATTGTCTTGAAAATACCTGTTATTTCAGTGGCCTTGGGAAGAAAAAACACACGATCATTCAACAAAAAGCTAGATGTGTGTTTTGACACCTTTTTAGCTTCTACTCATCTTCAACTAGCTGCAAAATCTCAACAATGTAAAAAGATCCTTGATTCCATCTATGTATAAAGTAACCCATTTGCAGTACTTATGGTGGTGCTTTAAAACCTTTCATGTCACACCTGAGAGGACTATTGAGTGAGACATCACATGAGATATTGTGGCATAATGACCATCATGGATTCACACAGGGAAGTCTAATCCTCACAGTGTGAGCAGAATCTATTCTGGAAAAAAACCCCATCATAATCACACCAGATCGATTAATCACATACTACAGGTCCATTACAACGGGCCCAGATAGGGCCACTGTGCCAACGGGTTTTATCAGAAGGCATGGGCTATGAAACAGTACCACAGAGCTGTACTGGAGGCTATCAATGTCTTACAAATAAAAGAAAGAGGGATGATAGCTTTTTCTCTGGCTAATATCAAATGGTATCTCTGGATGAACTATGGGTAAATAAACAAGGTTTCTTTGTGCCATTAGGTTCAGATACAGAATAAATAAATACTTCACACAGTGCTTTCAGCAGTCTCCATAGCCCCACACTGCGCAACCAATAAAAAAGTGTTTACTCAACTCCTTATGAATCTAGATTATCTCAACAAAGTAACACACCAAACCTTCTCCTCCAAGAATAATTCAAGAAAATAAAAACACTTTCTTAATACCTATATTTATATTCCTATAACTCTAAATACGAGTGCCCCACTACTGTGTGTTTTAGTTCATCATTATAACAACATTTCATCATACTGTATTTTGATTGAACGTCACATGGGGAAACATACTTTGTTTAAGCACCGCTTGTTTAATCACTCGACAATCACCTGAATCACCTTACTATGACACTATCACCAAACAGCTCAGAGAGCATGAATGGAGACACTTGCACGTGACACAGGACTCCGTTTGTCTGTCTTCAGCACAAATATTAGTGCTTTGCTGCTGAGCCTGATTTCTTGAACAGAAATTGCCCTGACAGTGGGATATCTGTCTATATCTTGGGAAGACTGACTCAGGCTGCTGGCGCTTTACTGAATATCACTGAGGTGCCCTTAAAAATTAAAGTGTTTTGAGATGGAAAGGAAGGAAGTTATTTTTGAGCTATTTTCTTAAAGGAAACGGCACGGTGGCATCAGTGACAGTTGGGTCACAGAATCGTTTTCCCTCTCACTCTGGGCAATGACTAACAGTGAGAGTGATGCACTTCCTCCTGTTTCATCTGTCATGGAGTCTGCACTGGAATATGCATGGTGACACAGTACTGTTGACAGAAAACTAAAGGGAGGATGATGTTACAGAAGCTGGATGAAAACCCCAATGCTCCTACCCAAGGTTTGTAAAGACCCTGGATGGCCATATGGGTTAGTGGGTGGAATAAGATGGGGACTACCTGACAGATGAGAGCAAAGGGGGGATTTCACTCCTTTTGTGCTGAGGGGTCTAATGCTAAGGCCTATATAGGACACCTCTCCTGTTCTGTTCAGACAGCAAAGTGCCTAAAAATGGACAGCGGACACCTGATGATGCATATGGAAGGATTACCTTTTGTGGAAGAACCTCTGCTTACATAGCCACCTTCTGTGAGACCAATACGGGGCCCACAGGTTGTGTGTTACCTACATAAATTCTGTCTGTTTTTTAAACAGACTTGGTCTGTCAACATGACAACATGACAACATGCAGAGTCACAAAGTCATGGATCTGAGAAAGCAGAGCACAGAGAACAGTGGGAGGAGAAGAGCGGTGGATCTGAGGCGTGTGTTTAGCTCTGAGGAGAATTAGACGGAATCACTGTCTGGTCAGTGGTGCTGTGATCAGGCTGTGGACCTCCACTAGGAATGGACATGTCTGACCAATGGGCCCCAGATAGAGCTCCATGATTGGCTCCTCAGTCTGTATCGAGTACTGGGCTCGTCTCAGTGGATCTACCCGTTAGGAGTGCTGTAGTACTGATCTCATTTGCCTGAGTTTGTAAACTCTGTGATTTACCATCTCTAGGGAATCCATGGGTTTTGACTAACACAGGATGCCCCAGGCTCCCTAACCCCTCAAACCACACATCGGCCACAACAACACTGACAATGATAGACAGCTGTCCATTTATCAGACCGCTTTTCACAGAAACCATACAGTAAATGCAATATGTATCTATAAAATGAAAAAATATGTTTGTGCACCAACAATGATTTCCTAAAATTCCACAAGGGCATGGAGGTCCATTGTATAGTACGATCTGGGTTCACACACCCTGCCAATAGACTACTTGGAAAAGCTGTCACAAGTGCTCCCCAACATCCATGATGTACAATAATAATAACAATATGCATAAAATAATCCACTATCCCATGCCAATGTTACTTACTGCCCAGTTGTGAAAAGATCTGTCCGTGACCATACCAATGTGAGATAACCATCCGTGGTGTTAAAACCCTAACACTTCAATATAAAATCACTTTAAAATAAAAAAATAATCTGGGAAAAAAAGCTAAATATAATGTAAGCGCATTATATTTTGTAAAGTGTAACAAATCAAAGCTCTGTGAAATCAATCATTAACACAGCATGCTATCAAACACTAGCCCCTCAGCTTTGGGAGCTGTTGCTTTGTAACACTGAGCACATTTAGCCACACACACGCACGCATACACATGCACACACACAAGCACACACAAACAAACACACACGCACACAGTGAAGTTTAAAACGGGGGGGAAACTCTACACTCTTAGAAAAAAGTGTTCCAAAATGGTTCTTCGGCTGTCCCTATAGGAGAAGCCTTTTTGGTTCCAGGTAGATCCCTTTTTGGTTCCAGGTAGAACTCTTTTGGGTTCCATGTAGAACCCTCTGTGGAAATGGTTTTACATGGAACCGAAAAGGGTTCTTCAAAGGGTTCTCCTATAGGGACAACTGAAGAACCCTTTTAGGTTCTAGATAGTACCTGTTTTTCTAAGAGTGCAGATAATGTGGCGACCAAAACATATGTGCACTCCTATGTAAACATTATAGGGAAAACACCCATAATATGTTCTTTCTTTCCATACATCCATGGAGGAAGTACTGTATGTTTGCTGTTTATTACACAGATTCTTCAAAATCCACAACTAACTTTTTGCAAAAAGGAAAATAAAATTAATAATAACAACAAAGAAAAACCTCCCTCTAGTCACCCAAAGAAACGATTTCATTCCATCACTTCCAGGTCTTAGTAACTATGTCCGGCTCATAGTGATGACATCACAGTCCCATTGTCAAGTGCATCTGATATGTACAGGATCATGACATCATCTGAGGTACACAGGGATGATGTTCCATTTGGCAGGTTGTGATGTTTTCATTTAAAAAATAGCAACTTTCCCACGGTGAGAGGAAGCACAGTGAGAGAAAATCTTCATCAACATTTTCACACAGAAAAATGAAATTACTTGTTATGAGAAAAGGTATTTTTGTTTTTATTTGTTAAGTGTTGCTTTAAATTGGTAGATAACTGAATTTCTTAAATTTGTTAATGGCAGTAGTTTCTGCCAAAAGATGTCCATTCCATGGTGCTCATACTATTTTGTCTCCCAAGTCAACCATAGGAGTGTAGATCAAGTTCCTCAGTCTCTTCTGCTGTTTGCTTTTGGAGAGGCAGCAATGATTCATGTTTCTTTCCTGTTTCCGAAGAAAAAAAAAACATATAATATTTCAGTTTCTTTTTGAAAGTGATGGTCTTGAATCTCCCAGTTTTCATTGTCTTCTTGTCTGTTGCCCTTTTAAAGGGTAGTCTTTCTAGTCAGTTCACCTAGTTTACATCTATACTTGTAGACACCTTGAGTTTCTCAAGTTTTTTTTCTTTACAAAATTCTTTACAAAATTCTTTAATCAAACAAACCAAAAAAAATTAAGAAAAAAACGGGTGGAAGATGGAAGTAGAAATGCGTCGCTGGTCAGTAACCGCTCATGATCCTGGTTCCAAGATGGACCATTGTGGGCCACATTGATTGGTGTCTGGTCATGTAGACATGCTGGCCACAAACCTCAAGAGCTGATTCCGAAAGGTTATGGGGACTTTGGATGAGGGAATAGAGGAGGACAGGAGAGGGATTGAAAAAGGGGACTCTCCTCTCCTCTCCTCTCCTCTCCTCTCCTCTCCTCTCCTCTCCTCTCCTCGCCTCTCCTCGCCTCGCCTCTCCTCTCCTCTCCTCTCCTCTCCTCTCCTCTCCTCTCCTCTCCTCTCCTCTCCACTCTGGATGGTCAAACTTCCACAGACTGGATCTGGTTCATGGAGGCGCGCATCATCTGTACACTGTTCAGGACCTTCTTCTGGTGGCCTGCTAACGTCACGCCCACACTCAGGATGTCACTGTGGCAGGAGACACAACCACAGGAGTCAGGAGGAAGCCATCACAGACGACACAAAAGGTTTTATTGCACATGGCATAAGCCAAGGTAAAATCAACAAGTTAGATCAAGGCTAAATTCTGGGCCCCAGTCTGCCAAATTCCTAATTCAGTCCCAGACAATGGAATGTCAGACTGCTTACAGTACTTACTCTGTTTGTTGAAAAACTTCTTCCATTCAGGAGACAATGGAATGTCTTTGTTTCCTAATCCTAACCCTATGGACTGATGTGCCTTATTTTTTAAAGTATTGTAACCAGTGTGGCGGGTGGAAAATAATTTGAAAACAGAATTGTGTTGCTTAGATATCCGACATGACTTCAGGAGGATATTAAGAGATGTAGAGATAAGAGACAATGAGCAGAGCAATGTGTGTCTTAGTTATTTACTAAACAGACATATGAATGAGTCTATCTGCTAATAGATGTCTTTATTAAGTCTACAGAGGCAGGAATGTATTCCTAAACATCACCATGCCTGTTCATTCTCCTATATCTCTTCTTTCTTTAAACTGTTGTATAAGAAACCTGTCAGCCACATGGCCAGAGTTTGTACGCTCTGTTCTAGCTCAGAGCAGTTATGCTGCACTGTTATTATCTCCTAATGACATACAGTGAGAGGCAGATTTATGATGAGCCAGGGGCTGAGCCTGGCAGTCATCCAGGCTTTAAGGTATGATACTGTCAAGGAATAGCCCACCTCATCCTCATCCTTATCAGAAACACCGGTCTGGGATCAGCACTTACTCCATGGTCATCTGGGAAACCACATCAAAGCTGGTGAAGTCAGCGTTGGCAAAGTTGTCTTTGTACTGGCCCATCTTGATGGCATCCAGCCACTCGTCCACAGTACTGAAGCTGGAGAAGTCTGGAACACTGCGGTCCAGGAGAGGAAGATGGACACTGGAGGGGGTCACAGACACAAAGAGTCTAACACAGCTTTAGAGACAGTGTCATAACTCTCTCACCTCTATGATGGCAATCAGTACAGTACACAATAGTGGATGGCCTAAAACAGATGAGTCAATAAGCTAGCCTTAAGGACAAAATAAAGTAACCGTGGCCATTTTCCTAATCGATTTTTAAGAAAATTATATTTCCAAATGGAGTGGCAGGCTTAGTGCCAGTATCCACACAGTGTCTCTATTCCACACACCACCAAAAATGTAAATATAGAGTAGGATATATGACATTCAGTATATTTTTACATTCATAGGAAACTGACACCCAGAGAAAATGTTCTTGGAAATGTTTTGTTTTGAAATTGTGTAACTGTTTCAAATCATGATTTGCCTAAAGCATTCATGGAAATGACTTGATCTATCAAACCAAATGGGTTTTATTTACATAACCACTTGGCGCCAAAAGAAACAGGAGACACAATGTTTGGTATAAATAAATTGAAAACATTGAAGGAATCATGTCCTTTGAAATGTCAAAGTGTTTTCCCATCTTTGAGGTTAGATGCATTAAATCCTTTTGGATTATACAGTATCTATGGAAATAGTAAAGTAATACTGTAGCCCAGTGCTGAATACTGTGAAGACTGGCCAGTAGAGAGAGAGGAACACTAGTCTCAAACACACTAATACACAGACAGACATACAGACAGACATGTAGTGACAGACTAATAGAAAGATAAACTCACAGATGAACTGACGGAGATCTAAGGAGAGCATGCTAAGTGTTTCACTCACCCTGAAGACAGCGGGGTCATGGCCTTCAGACTGTTGGGGTTGCGGATCATCTTGTCCAGGTTGTTGACAATTTGGCTGAACTTGGGCCGGTTGTTACGGTCCTTCTGCCAGCAGTCAAGCATGAGCTGGTGCAGGGCCGAGGGGCAGTCCATGGGAGGGGGCAGCCGGTAGTCCTGCTCTATGGCATTGATCACCTGCAGGGGGAGACACAGATCTCTAAGGGTTGCTATGAGGCTCTAAAAGGAGGAGAAGGGAGAGGAGAGAGACAGAAATCCTATTGGAGAGCATCCTCTCACAATTCTCACAAGCTACTTCTTCTATGACCAGAGTGCTATTTGGCTAACATGTTGATTAATATTCCTGTGATTTCAAATGAGAACTATGTTCTTGAAATACAGTATGCACTGAAAGATAAAACCATAACAGTGTTATACAAGTCGAAACTGCAACACACATGTTCACACACAAACATAATCCTGCAAGCATTATTGCATTAACAATAATTATCATTTTGAAAAGGTTTTGTCTTGGCTTCATACTTACTGTACCAGTTAAGCATCACAGTAAATTATCAGCCTAATACCAATGGCTCCCCACATCCATGCAGACTGTGCCAGCAGTGATTTAATCTTAGTCAGTCTGGCATCAAGAGCCTTTAGAAACTGCGTACAGTAATGTTCTTGCCATACAAATATCTAAGTTAGAGCCTGGTCCCATATCTATTTATTCTGTTTTGCCAACTCTATGGTCATTGTTATGCCAAAAAAGTCTAAGACTGAGAGTGGCCAGTGGTGTTGTTGGTGGTGGGAGAGGGTGTGGGGGGGACTGTAAGTAGCTCTGGATAAGAGTGTCTGCTAAATTACTAAAATGTAAATGTAAAATAATGGGGGAGGGATCAGGGAGGTGACTCCTAGCTAGGAGTGGGGAACGACCGGCCCAGAGGAGGGTTCTGACAAGGACCCACGATCCCTTGCTCATTATTACCACCATTACGGAGCTCCATTCAGGCCCAGATTAATCTCATTCAGAGGCCTCCCTCCCAACCAAGACCCCGATGGAGTAGAAACACTATCTAGAGCCCCTAATAAGATAACCGTTGAGCTCCACAGTCCCTCTTAGCGCATTAGCGTTCACACTTTCAATTTGAAACTATTTTCATTATCTCTCTCCCCATAATTTGCTCTCTTCTCCGCCACCCAGAGGGAGCCTGGAAACGGAGGCTCCAGTCAAGAGCAGGAATAGTCTGTGGAGCATTGCCTTGCATTCCAAATCATCTCTGTGGTAACTAGGGGGCTTTCATATTAAACCCAGGTTTGAAAGCTGCTGTTTAGCCAGGGGGAAGAGAACCACCATGACAAAATGGGGGTTCACAGAGAGGTAAGAACATTCAGGAACCACTGTCTCCTGTATATAATCAGACGTTGTTAGAATTTATTTTTAAACATTTGATGCCATGTTTAGAGTGGTTCTGTTTGACTAATGATATTCATATATATAAAGGTCTATAAATACATACGTCTTGATTGGTCATGTCCCAGTAAGGTCTCTCTCCATAGGACATGACTTCCCACATGACGATGCCGTAGCTCCAAACATCACTGGCGGACGTGAACTTCCTGTACTGGATGGCTTCAGGGGCTGTCCATCGGATAGGGATCTTCCCTCCCTGAGAAACACAACACAATGAGGGAACAACCTTATAGAGGGAAGTGAGACAGAAACCTGATCGTCCCAGTGTCCTGGCTCTGCAGAGAGAGATTATTCACAGCAACAATACTCTGTAATCCAAACTGTGAGATGGATATAACTAAACTCCTGGGAGTGGATGTGTGTGACATGGGATCCTGTAAAAGGGGAGGAGAGGGACAAGTGAGGGGCCTTTGTTATGATGGGGAATGTGGTGTGTGAGGTGTGTGTGTGTGTCTGTGTGTGTGCGTGCGTGCAAGTGTGGATGTGCGCACATGTGTATGTGTGCGGTGTTTGCGGTGACGTCATGGTACTCACCAGGGCACTGGTGTAGGTGGGGTCTGACGTGTCGTCCTCCAGGAATCGGGACAGGCCGAAGTCAGACACCTTGCAGACCAGGTTGCTGTTGACCAGGATGTTGCGTGCGGCCAAGTCGCGGTGGACGTAGTTCATGTCGGCCAGGTACTTCATGCCTGAGGCGATGCCACGCAGCATGCCCACCAACTGGATCACTGTGAACTGGCCGTCGTTTTGCTGCAAAATAAAAGGAACACATTAGATCACAATATGATACATCCCCAGGTCTGAGACTTCCCTCTGTGGGCTATGATTGAATAGATATAGCTATAGGCTGGGCTGGGCTCGGTCTGGCAGGCTGCAGCTGTTCTCCTCCCTGGATTGGCCAAGGCTTTACCCCATACATGGGGAGTGTCTGGATCTGGCCTGCAGCTGTGCCTCAATCTGCGCACACCTGCACCCTCACCACCCACCACGAGGACCAGAGATCAACTAGGGAATATCCGGGAGGATCATGACGAAAGATGAAAGAGCATGAGTGTGGACTGACAGGCCCAGTATCATGGCCCAGGGATGGGGTGGGGTGGTGTGGGGACACAGATGGACCACAGACGGACTAGGCCCAGCTGTGTATTCCTCTAGGCATTTTCGCTGTCTATGGTTAGCCAGATCCTCTAGCCTGTGTCTCTGTGTCTCCTCCAAACTCTTTGCTGCTCATTAGCAGAGCAAGGACTTCTCCTCACGTCCACCAGCTCCTCATGCACCTCATGCACCACAGCAATGAAGTCTTATGCATTATTCATGAGGCTGAATTCTCTCACAAATACACAGCGCCTCATAATCCCTGCATCCCTGCACTGTGTTTGCATATACTTTAATTGGGAAGATTCTTCCACCAAAGTCATTTGGATCAGGTTAGCAGATAGAGAGAGACATCGTTTCTATCTTTTAAGGCTAATACATGCAATTTATGATTCAACCCCAATTCTAATCATAATGGTAGAGATAATAATGTTTCTGAAGAAAGCTTTGATATGGATGTGCCATTTCTTTCTGATCGTTACATGGTCCCCAACTTTTGCTACTTTCTCTGCCTGTTGTTGTCTCCATCCATCTATTCTTCTCGTGTTCTCGCTCCCCTTCTCCCTTGTCGATGCGTCATAGAAGCGAGGGCTGCACCAGGTGCTTTAGGGGAGCTGATCCTTCAGCTGACAGTTCCTATCTAAGGTGGTCTCCCCTGCTGCTCCATCCTCTTTCACAGAGCGCCATGTTCTAAAGCGCTGACGCGTTCAGAAAATGTTGTCATAAGCTGTCACAGTGAGGTGCCACAGTGATGCTGTGTTGTTTGGAAGACAATGTGCTGTCAAATATGCTTAACACAAAGTAACACACAGACACAGACACACACAACCCATCAAATTCAAGAGTGACTTGGCACACAGTGTCTCGGAGGTCTGAAGCAGAATGCTAATAAAGTTCATATTTTGCTTCTCCAGCAGTAGACAGAGCAGCAGTCTGCTGACAGGAGGGTGGCTGGCTCCTTTTTTAAAGGGAGGATTTTGATGTATATTTTGATCCATAGAGGAAGAGTTTACGTCTCAGGTTTATAATATCCTCCCATAGCTCAGAGCTGATTCTCGTCAGTGTGCTTTCTGCCCTGAGTCTTGAAAGCCTTACTCAGTATGATCTATGCAGAGGTAAACATTGACAATGCGATGAGTGACAACTAAGGCTATGACAGAGGTGGTGGAGGGAGGTGTTATCCACATAGACACAGTAGAAACATCAGACATTTCCAAACATAAACATAGTGATTTATATCAAACATGAAACCCTTGGCCCTTATTGAATTGATATGTTTCCATATTTAATAATTCACTCACAATTGATTTAAAGTGGAGTAAATCTAATGAGAATAAAATCAATCATATATTTTTGTGAAGATCAGACATGTCCAATTTCCATTAGTCACTAGCTCTTTCCCACTCAGTTTATTCCCACTCACTTCAAACCCACAATGAGTCCAATTAGAGGAGATGAAAGCTTGTGGACACCCAGTCACATTAGGAAAAACATGCTCCCGTTCAGCTGAAATGCTACAGACAGACGGCACAGGACTGGCTGACAGGAGACAGCAGTCTCTCACCTACAAGCCAACTTCATTCTCTGAAAGCTGACATGTTTTCTTCTTACAGCGCTAATCATTTGAAACCCTCCCAAGGGATGAGGTGAGGTTAGATATCTGGAATGTATTTTCTGAGTTTTGCATTACATGCAATTTGTTTGACTGAATGTTAAGATGGCAAATAACTTTTTGTGGCATAAGTAGAAAGTACTATAAATTCATAGGTCCTTGTCCTTTTCTGTGACTCAAACAGGAGGAGTGAATGTGTGCTAGTATGATAAATACAAAATGAGAGCATGACTAACTGTACTGAACTGCTGGACTCTCTTCCTCACCAGCGCCTATAGTGAGCTACTGTACATAGATCATTTTACTGTAGTCAAACATGGAGATCAAGGTGAAATGCTGAATAACAGCCAGCGCAAGTTGCAGCAGAGTATAAATCAATAATTGGACTAGACAGACACTCAGGGAGCATTAATACTGCAGCTTGATTGTTCTACAGCTGCACCATCGAGAGCATCCTGACTGGTTGCATCACCGCCTGGTATGGCAACTGCTTGGCCTCCGACCGCAAGGCACTACAGAGGGTAGTGCGTACGGCCCAGTACATCACTGGGGCCAAGCTTCCTGCCACCCAGGACCTCTATACCAGGCGGTGTCAGAGGAAGGCCCTCAAAATTGTCAAAGACTCCAGCCACCCTAGTCATAGACTGTTCTCTCTGCTACCGCACGGCAAGCGGTACCGGAGTGCCAAGTCTAGGTCCAAAAGACTTCTCAACAGCTTCTACCCCCAAGCCATAAGACTCCTGAACAGCTAATCATGGCTACCTGGACTATTTGCACTGCCCCACCCCCCCACCCCATCCTTTTACGCTGCTGCTACTCTGTTAATTATTTATGCATAGTCACTTTAACTCTACCCACATGTACATATTACTTCAACTACCTCAACTAGCCGGTGCCCCCGCACATTGACTCTGCACCGGTACCCCCCTGTATATACAGTGGGGGAAAAAAAGTATTTAGTCAGCCACCAATTGTGCAAGTTCTCCCACTTAAAAAGATGAGAGAGGCCTGTAATTTTCATCATAGGTACACGTCAACTATGACAGACACATTTAGATTTTTTTTCTCCAGAAAATCACATTGTAGGATTTTTTATGAATTTATTTGCAAATTATGGTGGAAAATAAGTATTTGGTCACCTACAAACAAGCAAGATTTCTGGCTCTCACAGACCTGTAACTTATTCTTTAAGAGGCTCCTCTGTCCTCCACTCGTTACCTGTATTAATGGCACCTGTTTGAACTTGTTATCAGTATAAAATACACTTGTCCACAACCTCAAACAGTCACACTCCAAACTCCACTATGGCCAAGACCAAAGAGCTGTCAAAGGACACCAGAAACAAAATTGTAGACCTGCACCAGGCTGGGAAGACTGAATCTGCAATAGGTAAGCAGCTTGGTTTGAAGAAATCAACTGTGGGAGCAATTATTAGGAAATGGAAGACATACAAGACCACTGATAATCACCCTCGATCTGGGGCTCCACGCAAGATCTCACCCCGTGGGGTCAAAATGATCACAAGAACGGTGAGCAAAAATCCCAGAACCACACGGGGGGACCTAGTGAATAACCTGCAGAGAGCTGGGACCAAAGTAACAAAGCCTACCATCAGTAACACACTACGCCACCAGGGACTCAAATCCTGCAGTGCCAGATGTGTCCCCTTGCTTAAGCCAGTACATGTCCAGGCCCGTCTGAAGTTTGCTAGAGTGCATTTGGTTGATCCAGAAGAGGATTGGGAGAATGTCATATGGTCAGATGAAACCAAAATAGAACTTTTTGGTAAAAACTCAACTCGTCGTGTTTGGAGGACAAAGAATGCTGAGTTGCATCCAAAGAACACCATACCTACTGTGAAGCATGGGGGTGGAAGCATCATGCTTTGGGGCTGTTTTTCTGCAAAGGGACCAGGACGTCTGATCCGTGTAAAGGAAAGAATGAATGGGGCCATGTATCGTGAGATTTTGAGTGAAAACCTCCTTCCATCAGTAAGGGCATTGAAGATGAAACGTGGCTGGGTCTTTCAGCATGACAATGATCCCAAACACACCGCCCGGGCAATGAAGGAGTGGCTTCGTAAGAAGCATTTCAAGGTCCTGGAGTGGCCTAGCCAGTCTCCAGATCTCAACCCCATAGAAAATCTTTGGAGGGAGTTGAAAGTCCGTGTTGCCCAGCGACAGCCCCAAAACATCACTGCTCTAGAGGAGATCTGCATGGAGGAATGGGCCAAAATACCACAACAGTGTGTGAAAACCTTGTGAAGACTTACAGAAAACGTTTGACCTGTGTCATTGCCAACAAAGGGTATATAACAAAGTATTGAGAAACTTTTGTTATTGACCAAATACTTATTTTCCACCATAATTTGCAAATAAATTCATAAAAAATCCTACAATGTGATTTTCTGGATTTTTTTTCTCATTTTGTCTGTCATAGTTGACGTGTACCTATGATGAAAATTACAGGCCTCTCTCATCTTTTTAAGTGGGAGAACTTGCACAATTGGTGGCTGACTAAATACTTTTTTCCCCCACTGTATAGCCTCCCTACTGTTATTTTATTTTACTTCTGCTCTTTTTTTCTCAACACTTTTTTTGTTGTTGTTTTATTTTTACTTTTTTGTTAAAAATAAATGCACTGTTGGTTAAGGGCTGTAAGTAAGCATTTCACTGTAATGTCTGCACCTGTTGTATTCGGCGCATGTGGCCAATAACATTTGATTTGATTTGATTTGATTGGGTAGAGAAGGATCTCTCTAAGGACTTGTGGTGGACACTATACTAAGTAAATGACATGATTAATGTTCTGCATGTTAATGTTCACTTTAACCTAGATGGGTTAGCATTAGTGTGTGTATTTAACAGTCATTTCCCAGAGTGTGTGTGCGTATGTGCCTGTGTGCTTGTGTGTGCCTGCATGTCTGTGTGTCTACCTGTTTATCTGCATAGCCATTAGTGTTAATATTTGACTCAGAGACACACACAGCATAACTCACTCTGAGGAAGGAGTCCAGTGATCCGTTCTCCATGAACTCAGTGATGATCATAACAGGGGCGCTCTTGGTGACCACACCCTCCAGGTGGATCACATTGGGGTGGTCAAACTGACCCATGATGGATGCCTCAGACAGGAAGTCCCGCCTCTGCTTCTCCGTGTAGCCCGACTTCAGCGTCTTGATGGCCACAAACATCTCCCTCTTTCCTGGGAGCCTCAGGTTCCCACTGCACACCTCCCCGAACTCTCCTACAAGACACAACATAGAGGCAGAGCGACAGTTAATGATAGGAGATGTCTGACAGAGGTTACAAACATTAAAATGATGAGGCAAAATATTATTCATTGGAATACAGACAGCATTCAAAATATATATTTTGTAAAAAATGACTGGCCTTTCTCTTTACCTGCGCCAATGACTTGCTCAATCTTCACATAGGAAGTGTCAATCTCCTTAGCAAACTCCCTCACCGCCTCGTTGGGGTCCTCATATGTAAACGGATCAATATATATCTTCATTCCTGGAGTCACTTGGAAAAAGAAGAGGCCGATATAATTTTTTATTCTGACACAAACAAACAAACTCTGTCCGTCTTTAACAAGTAGCCAATGCAGTGTATTATTATGAGTCAGAAAGGTTAGTGTTAGTACAAGGTAGAGGAATGGTAGGTTTGGCTTGGGTCCTCAGGACTATAATAATCAATGGGCAATGACATGGCATTTCCAGTGAGTCTTTGGCAGTGATAAGGCAGGTTAATGTATGTATCAACTCCATAGAGTCATAGCAGAACATTAACACCCAGGAGAGACAGCCAGACACTATATCAGTATCGCTCTCTGCTCTAGAAAATAAATTGTCTCTCTTAAGCTCTGATGCTAGGTAAATTGGCTTAAGGTGGCCTTTAAGTGTTCAGGGACTTAAGTGTCTCAGGTTTCAAATCCGATTATTCGGACTCTCACTTCCACATCTGGCCTGAGGCTTTTTTAATGGTTATTGTGTTCATGCACAGGCAGTCAGCGAAGCTGAGATACCTGCTTATAGTAGAGCCATGAAACCTGCATAGCAGACTGAACTGAAGAAATGTTTAGGAACAGATGGAGATTCTCCTTTAAGGCAAAAAAAGAGTCCCCAGTCAGAACCTCCTATCTCTTCCCAAACTATGGAACGATCCAAAGACCACCCACCAGAGCATGGCAGAGACCACCTGATATAGGGGGAGGACAGCCAGGATAATTGTGACATCAGCATTTACTGCAACCTGATACTATTGATTACACATGGGAAAGCTGTCTCCATTGATAAGCCCGACTAGCGGAAGAGCTAAATAGAAAAATATATAAATAAATACAACTGAAATAAGCTCAGGGAGGAAATATATCAGAGCATTTCTGTTTAGCTGAGTGAAGGAGAGGGACACGATAAGCCATAAGCTCCAAGGGAGAGCCAAACTAGTTTAAATTACGGCGCCTGAGCTCCATCTTGAAGATGTATTTCTATATCATGGCACTCTGGGCCAACGTGCTTTACATGGAAAACAATATATTTAATAAAGGCCATTTCTTCACAATCTCCTTTGAATTTTTCAACAATGGCAAATGGTGTGTGTGGTATTAGGGTGTTCATGGACTTAACAAGCTAAAAGAAGGCTAAATGCTACTTCCACAACAATGGAATTAGTTGACTATGAAATGAGATCAACAGCAAACACACACTTGTACACGTGTTGTGTTAGGGGTAAATCCTAGCATTAAGACAGTTGAGGAAAACAAGAGAGAAGATTACCAATGGAGAGGTGAGAAGAAGCACAAGGTTGGGAGGTAGCCAAGGACACTAGCGTGTCAAGTGGTAGCCATGGAGACAGGTGTGTGAGGCAGCAGAGGGTTGAACATTAGCCATGGAGACTGCTGCGTGAGCTGGTAGCCATGGAGACAGGTGTGTGTGCATGTATGTGTGTGAGCGTGAGTGTGAGTGTGTGTATTTTGGGGGAGGTGCAAACAGGCACTCTGAGTGAGGGCTGGTTACTCACTGTGGCCGCTGGTGTAGTGCTGCAGCTTGTCTGTGTACTCCGAGTCTGCCCTCTCAAAGCCACGCCTCCTGGGAAAAAGACAAAGAGCTATAGCGCTGGCCCAAAGAGGGGGTGTGGTCTATGTACCAGGCCTACCCACTCCACAGCTAGCTAACGACCACTAAACACAACCAGCCTATAAACTATAAACACAGGACCCATTAAAGTACAGTAACGAAGTATGTGGGAAAACAACCACTAAAGCGAATGTGTCTAATCTGGCAGCATTGGTTGGCTGGACTGGAGCAGGAATAACTCACCGGTTGCAGACGATGACGATGACAACCACTGCGATGAGGAAGACCAGACCTGCAGCTGCAGAGCCGATGATGAGAGGCAGCTTCTCCTGAATGCTGGTGTTGTACTCCTCTGTGATTAGACAAACACACACAAACACACCATCACACACTGAAACATATGGGCCAGGCATCTGAGTGAATGCATTTGGAGTTAGCAGTGGGTGACAGACAGACAGACGGTTGGGGAGACCAATGGGCATCTTGGCTGGCAGCACAAGACCTCTCTCCAAAGCCCACTGAGCACGTTCAGATGCCAGCAATATGGTCGCCCGCTCATCTGGAACTGAGAGAGCAGGTTTGGGAGAGACCCAGCTCCTTTCCCTCCAGAGTGCTGCCAAACATGGCAGTAGGCACACAATCACACAATACCACCTCAGGTCCTGACTGCTCTGTCCGAGGTCTGAGGCTAGGGAGGGTTGTGCCATGGGTTGTGTCCCAGGGTGGTGGTACAGTATGCAGCCTATTGCGATGTTTGGTTCCCCTTTGTCTGGCAGTGTGCTGGCTGCTTGCCGTGGAGGAGAGCAGAGATCAGGCTAATGATGGCCCTCGGCACTGCAGGTAATAAGATGTTTAGAGAACACCCAGGTCGCTAACATTATCCAGGCCAGGGGAGCCAGGATCCAGCATTAGCGGAGCCAGGGGAAAAGCTAGTCTGCCCAGCAGTGTCCTTCTTTACAGATGAATCCACTTTAACCTGATCTGTGACTCACATTAGTCCACCGCTAATAAAGCACAGTAAACTACAGAAAATATCTCCATTCATACATAACCTATCTTATTCATTTGTAAAAAAATAACTTGCACATGCTGAGAAGATAATGAATGAAATCCACATAAATAGAACAATGGGTGTACACATTGTAGGAGAGTTGTCTTGCAGAACGCATCTCAGACCATTTCCCCATCCACATCCTTGTGTCTGTTGGGTCATTGTGTCCATGTTGTAATGGTCCATGTTGGGTTGATGGGCCATGCATGGGATGTGATAACTCTGCATCTCTCTATGCTCTATCTGAGCAGAGGGAATGTTGGCTGCACCCTCACCTTCAGTCATGGTTTGGAAGTAGAGCTTGCCGCTGTAGCGCCCAAATCCGGCCACGGTCCGGGCGCGAACCAGGAACACATAGATTGCCCCTGGTTTGAGACCGCGGATGACCACTGTGTTGGTCTGGCTCTTTATGATGGTTGAGTTGTACTCGGTCTGGTCCTGAGAGAGCATTAAGGAACGAGGGAGAAATACAAATCAGTGACATCCACAGAACAATTACCATATACATGCATTAACTTAGTGCCTTATAAAAATAGGCTAATGTGCAAAGTAGGATACAGACTAAAATGTTTCTAACACTGATGTATCTATTTGACCAAGCAGAATTAATAGAGAATGATAAGCAACAGCCTAGGGATGGCAGTTTCAGGTCTGCTAGACTTAGTTTGTTTGGGCTGTGAGTTCTGACGATCAGTGTAACTTTTCATTGCCACACCGCTTCTCTCTCTCCACAAAGCTGACAGGTCTGTCTGGAAAAGGAGACTAAAACTGTGCCGGCTGCAGGCTTCAACCAATCAGCAGCGTGAGCACATTTGTGAGATCTGAGCCACGGCAGGGGCCGAGACAATTGTTTTGACAGCTCTCCTCAGCAGCATCTGAGAAAATAATTAAACTAAAAAGTGGAGCAGAGTGGCGCGCAGTCACAGAGGACTGCTCAATGAACTTTGTGTGTGCTTGTGTGTGTGTATGCTTTTCTCTGTCCGTATCTGTGTGTGGGAGTGTTTCTTGTGAGAAAGTATGCTGATTCTGAGGAGTCTGTCTGTTGAATACTATTTTTATGGCAGTCAACACACCATTGTTTCAACCACAAATATCTCTCCATCAATCCCTAGTGGCCTGACTGGAGGGCTGAGAGCAGTTTCCTTTCCCAGTGACTGACCGTGATTATAATTGAAAGGGATCGAGCAGAAGTTGTATGCTCAATTCAGAAGCTACAGTATGTCTGCCTGCCACCGTGAACATGCTGTTCTGGACACCAACAGGGGAAGACATTCTTAATTTCAATGTGATAGAAAATGAGAGATATATTTTGCAGCAAATGCATACCTTATTTAGCCCCGCTGAGATGAAAGAAAGCCTGACACACTCAATGGTGTCTTTACGTGTGTCTGTTTACATGGAGGTGAGATAGAGCAGACTGTTTGTTAATGGGTAGTGTGCAGTGGGTACCTACCTTCTCATAGTACTGTAGTTCATAATCCAGGATGACTCCATTGGGCTGGTCTGGTTGAGACCAGGACAGAGTGATGCTGTCCACGGTACGACTAATCTGGTGCATGATGGACACTGTCGACGGAGCTGCAGAGAGATAGATAGATTAGATAGAGAGAGAGAGAGAGAGAGAGAGAGAGAGAGAGAGAGAGAGAGAGAGAGAGAGAGATTTACATTTGTACATTTACATCATTTTATTTATGTATTTTTAAATGGGGGTGGTGGGGGAGGGGTGGGGGGGGGGGGGGGGGGGGGGTGGTAGAAGGATTACTTTATACTATTCCAGGTATTCCTTAAAGAGATATACAGACACTGAGAGAAAGAAGGAAAGTGCATAACAAATACAAATTCAGCATCACAACATTCAGTCACTATGATTAGTTGCCAATCATTCATCCGTATCATAAAATCTAATCAAACAGATATCAAACAGATGCCTACTTCACTGAACTATGTAACAGTGATAGTGATATGTTAGTTGGTATCATCATGACCAGACATGTACTGCATGTAGAAAAGGCACACCTCTGACTAAACCACATACATAGTTTGAAGGGACTTTCCAGCACTGACTTTGTATAATTTCCATTATTAATCTGTGCTTCCCACACTGTCAGGGTGTGAGGACACTGTCTGTCTGTGTCTGGCTAGCAATCATTCCCCTGGCCGCATCCTCCTCCTCCGGACAAATTGTGGAGCAAGCCCATTTTGTATGGCACATAAAACCAGAGAAAATCACCAGAACCACAAGTATGCCATACACAATCGCCATTTTGTTTTTTCCAGCCTTCTATTTTTACAATTGCAGTCTATGTTTACGCATATTTTTTGGTGGATGACAACTTAATACACACTAATAAACGGTTTGAAAGTGCAAGGACAAGAGTCATGGTCATGGTGGACAGATATAGAGAATTATAGCATTTACATGTGGTAATCACTGTGTAGCAATAAGCCAGATCCTTTCAGCAGTAGTTGAGCCATAAATGCGTGTTGAATGGGTAGGATTGTTAGCTGCCTTTAGTCTAACAAAACCAAAGGCCCAAACTTTATTTTTAGTAAGGCTAAAGGGTCAGGGAGGGGCATGCTATCCACTCACCCTCATACATCTATTAACATTAGTGCATGGTGCCGTGGGTCACAGTGAAGCTTATGCAGGAGATAAAAGCGCTGTCTGGGGCTGGAAGGCCAGGATTTATGGGCCCCGGGCCCCAGCCTCAGCCCATGGTCCCATTCTGCATACACACAGCCCCCAGCCAGCAGCACAGTGGCTCCCAGAGCTCTAGCCATAAAGCGCTCCACCGGCACGCGCTCTCCATGGAAAATCCACTGACTGGAAAACCCTCCCACCCTCCCTCCCTCGGCCCTGCCCACCATTATCTAGGAATCTGGGGAGTGTGTGTGGTTAATATCTCATATATAAATCTAAGTGTTCATTTTTTGTAGTAACAAAATGCTGGTAATTGCTGATGCTATCCACCACACCACAAAGGAGCCTTTCAGATAGGGTTTGGATTAAAATACACATGTTCAGTACTGTAGAGTAAAGCCCGAAGCAGCTCCCAGAGACCAGTGTGCTGTAAGACATGATGATGGAGAGGCCGTTTTATGGCCTATTCATTCTCACCAGTGAGTCAGCCTTGCCTCACATATCCTCTGATCCCAACAGAAGCCTCCATCCGAGGACACTAATCATGAGATACTGTCTAAATAGGGAGGTCCCAGAGCCTATATCCCCATATGCCGTTGGCCTTAAAATAAATGTGTCTACAGATAATGAATAGGCAGCCTGTAGTTTCATCTCCTGCACCACTTGCACTACGATGGCCTGTGATTCTGCCATGAACATACAGTGCATTCTGAAAGTATTCGGACCCCTTCCCCTTTTCCACATTTTGTTACGTTACAGCCTTATTCTAAAATGGATTAAATTAAATGTTTTCCTCATCAATCTACACAAAACACCCCCTAATGACAAAGAAAAAACAGGTTTATAGAAATGTTTGCAAATGTATTAAAAAAAGAAAACATAAATATTACATTTACATAAGTATTCAGACCCTTTGCAATGAGACTCGAAATTGAGCTCAGGTGCATCCTGTTTCCATTGATCATCCTTGAGATGTTTCTACAACTTAATTGGAGTCCACCTGTGTTAAATTCAATTGATTGTACATCATTTGGAAAGGCACACACCTGTCTGTATAAGGTCCCATAGTTGACAGTGGATGTCAGAGCAAAAACCAAGCCATGAGGTCGAAGGAATTGTCCGTAGAACTCCGAGACAGGATTGTGTCGAGGCACAGATCTGAGAAATTCTTAAATGGAAGAAGTTTGGAACCACCAAGACTCTTCCTAAAGCTGGCCGCACGGCCAAACTGAGCAATCGGGGGAGAAGGGCCTTGGTCAGGGAGGTGACCAAGAACCCGATGGTCACTCTGACAGAGCTCCAGAGTTCCTCTGTGGAGATGGGAGAACCTTCCAGAAGGACAACCATCTCTGCAGCACTCCACCAATCAGGCCTTTATGGTAGAGTGGCCAGACGGAAGCCTCTCCTCAGTAAAAGGCACATGAAAGCCTGCTTGGAGTTTGCCAAAAGGCACCTAAAGGACTCTCTGACCATGAGAAACAAGATTGTCCGGTCTGATGAAACCAAGATTGAACTCTTTGGCCTGAATGCCAAGCGTCACATCTGGAGGAAACCTGGCACCATCCCTACAGTGAAGCATGGTGGTGGTAGCATCATACTGTGGGGATGTTTTTCAGCGGAAGGGACTGGGAGACTAGTCAGGATCGAAGGAAAGATGAACGGAGTAAAGTAGAGATCCTTGATGAAAACCTGCTCCAGAGCGCTCAGGACCTCAGACTGGGGCGAAGGTTCACCTTCCAACAGGACAACGACCCTAAGCACACAGCCAAGACAGAAGTCCCTGAATGTCCTTGAACATCTCTGGAGAGACCTTAAAATAGCTGTGCAGCGACGCTCCCCATCCAACCTGACAGAGCTTGAGAGGATCTGTAGAGAAGAATGGGAGAAACACCCCAAATACAGGTGTGTCAAGCTTGTAATGTCATACCCAAGAAGACTTGAGGCTGTAATCGCTGCCAAATGTGCTTCAACAAAGTACTGAGTAAAAGGTCTGAATACTTATGTAAATGTTATATTTCAGTTGTTTTTGTTTTTTTACAAAACAGTTTTGCTTTGTCATTATGGGGTATTGTGTGTAGATTGATGAGGGGGAAAAAACTATTTAATCAATTTCAGAATAAGGCTGTAATGTAAGAAAATGTGGAAAAGGTCAAGGGGTCTGAATACTTTCCAAATGCACTATACATTATCCTCTTCACAGAGACCCAGAGGTCGGTATACAGTAACCAGTCAGGAGACTAGACTACTCACAGGCATCTCTTCAATCTCACTGTCAGTTGAGTTTGTTTGCAATCATAATAAGGGAAATAGTCACTCTACAGGTGTCACGGTGTACTTGTGGATGTGGTGGTGAAGTCAGGCGCAGGACACAGCGGATAAGTCAAACAGCTTTACTTGACTGAATACACAATACAGAAAATAAATGGCCTCAAAACACAGTAGGCGAAAACCTACGTGCAACGCGTAAAACACTAAAGCCACAACATAAACCAACAGACAATCGACAGGCGGACAACAACACACAACTCCAAAACATAACACAGGGAAACTTATAAGTGACATAATCAGGACAGAATACGAAACAGGTGCACTTAACTAGACATGACCAAACGAACATCGAAACATCAAACGGTGGCAGCTAGTACTCAGGGGACGACGAACGCCGAAGCCTGCCCGAACAAGGAGGAGGAGCAGCCTCGGCAGAATCCGTGACAGTACCCCCCCCCTTGACGCGCGGCTTCAGCCGTGCGCCGACCCCGGCCTCGGGGACGGCCAGGAGGACGCGGAGCATGGCGCGTGGGATGGTTTCGGTGGAACTCCGTCAGGAGGGAGGGATCTAAGATATCCCTCCTAGGCACCCAGCACCGTTCCTCCGGACCGTACCCCTCCCACTCCACGAGATATTGTAGACCCCCCATCCGACGTCTCGAATCCACGATGGACCTGACTGAGTACGCCGGAGCCCCCTCGATGTCCAGTGGGGACGGAGGAGTCTCTCTTATCTCACAGTCCTGGAGTGGACCAGCTACCACTGGCCTGAGGAGAGACACATGGAACGAGGGGTTAATGCGATAATCATTAGGCAGACTCGATCTCCAGGTGCGTACACTGGACCCTCACTGCGGTGGAGATCGACGCTCGCCTTCTGTCTACGGATAGCCCGCTGCAGATGGACGTGTGCAGCGTTCCACGTCTCCTCCGAGCGCCGAAACCACTCATCCACCGCAGGAGCCTCGATCTGGCTCTGATGCCATGGTGCCAGAACCGGCTGATACCCTAACACACATTGGAAAGGGGTCAGGTTAGTAGAGGAGTGGCGAAGAGAGTTCTGGGCAATCTCTGCCCAAGGGATATAACCCGACCACTCCTCCTGCCGGTTCTGGCAATACGATCTCAGAAACCTGCCCACATCCTGGTTCACTCTCTCCACCTGCCCATTACTCTCAGGATGAAAACCCGAGGTAAGGCTAACCGAGACCCCCAACCGTTCCATGAACGCCCTCCAGACTCTAGAGGTGAATTGGGGACCTCGATCTGACACTATATCCTCGGGAACCCCGTAGTGCCGGAAGACGTGGGTAAACAAAGCCTCTGCGGTCTGTAGGGCAGTAGGGAGACCCGGCATTGGGATGAGACGACAGGCCTTAGAGAACCGATCCACAACGTCCTGAATGGTGGTATTCCCCTGGGAGGGAGGTAGGTCAGTGACAAAGTCTACCAAGAGGTGAGACCACGGCCGTTGTGGAACGGGCAGGGGCTGTAACTTCCCCCTGGGCAGGTGTCTAGGTGCCTTACACTGGGCGCACACTGAGCAGGAGGAGACATCCTAGCCAATGTTGGCCACCAGTACTTTACACTAAGGCAGTGCACTGTCCGGCCAATACCTGGATGTCCAGAGGAGGGCGACGTGTGAGCCCAATATATGAGACGATCACGGATCTCGAGCGGCACGCACGTCCGCCCCACTGGACACTCCGGAGGAGTAGGGTCGGTGCGTAACGCCCGCTCGATTTCCGCATCGATCTCCCACACCACCGGTGCCACCAGACAAGACTCCGGCAGTATGGGTGTGGGCTCAATGGACCTCTCCTCTGTGTCATACCGCCGGGACAGTGTGTCTGCCTTAACGTTCTGGGACCCTGGGATGTACGTAAGCTTAAAGACAAACCGGGTCAGAAACATGTTCCACCTAGCCTGACGAGGGTTCAGTCTCCTAGCTGCCCGGATGTACTCCAGGTTACGATGGTCAGTCAGAATGAGAAAAGGGTGTTGAGCCCCCTCAAGCCAATGCCTCCACACCTTTAGGGCCTGAACTACGGCTAGCAGCTCCCTGTCCCCTACGTCATAATTTCGTTCCGCCGGGCTGAGCTTTTTTAAATAAAAAGCGCAGGGCCAGAGTTTAGGAGGCGTGCCTGAGCGTTGAGACAATACTGCCCCAATACCGGCCTCTGACGCGTCCACCTCCACTTGGAACACTAAAGCGGGATCCGGATGCGCCAGCACCGGAGCCGAGGTGAACAGGTTTTTCAGTTTATTAAACGCCCTGTCTGCCTCAGCCGACCACTGCAAATGCACCGGGCCCCCCTTCAGCAGGGACGTGATGGGAGCTGCCACCTGTCCAAAACCCCGGATAAACCTCCGGTAGTAATTGGCAAAACCCCAAAACCGTTGCACCTCTTTAACAGTGGTTGGAGTCTGCCAATTACGCACGGCTGACACACGGTCAACTTCCATCTCCACCCCTGACGCGGACAACCGATAACCCAAAAAGGAGATGGACTCCTGGAAAAACAGACATTTCTCTGCCTTGGCATACAAGTCATGCTCCAACAACCTACCCAACACTCGGCGTACCAGGGCTACATGCTCGGCTCGTGTAGATGAGTACACTAGAATGTCGTCAATGTACACGACCACACCCTGCCCATGCAAGTCCCGGAAGATCTCGTCCACAAAGGATTGGAAGACTGAAGGAGCATTCATTAACCCATATGGCATGACGAGATACTCATAATGACCCGAGGTGGTACTAAATGCTGTCTTCCATTCATCTCCCTCCCTAATGCGCACCAAGTTGTAAGCGCTCCTGAGATCCAGTTTTGTGAAGAAACGCGCTCCGCGTAATGATTCCGTCATACTCGCAATCAGAGGCAGAGGATAACGGTATTTAACTGTGATCTGATTGAGATTACGGTAATCAATACACGGGCGCAAACCTCCATCCTTTTTCTTCACAAAAAAGAAACTCGAGGACACAGGGGAAGTGGAGGACCGTATGTATCCCTGTCTCAGAGACTCGGCTATGTATGTCTCCATAGCCGCCGTCTCCTCTTGAGACAAGGGATACACATGGCTCCGCGGAAGTGCCGCACCCGCCAGGAGATCTATCGCACAATCTCCCCGTCTATGAGGTGGCAAACGCGTCGCCCTAGTCTTACTGAACATGAGTGCCAAATCCTCATACTCGGGGGGAATGTGCATTGCGGGCACTTGGTTCGGACTCTCCACCGTGGTCGCCCCTACGGAAACACCTAAACATCGCCCGACACACTGGTTAGACCACTCCTTGAGAGCCCTCTGTTGCCACGAAATGGTGGGATCATGGGCGATTAACCGAGGAAGCCCCAGTACCACGGGATACGCAGGAGAGTCGATCAGATACAACTGAATAATCTCTTCATGACCCCCTGCGTCCTCATCTTAAGTGGCGCTGTGACCTCCCTAATCAACCCAGATCCCAACGGACGACTATCTAGGGCATGGATAGGGAAAGGGGAATCCCTAACTTAATACAAAAATTATGATCAATGAAATTCCCAGCTGCGCCTGAATCGACTAGCGCCTTATGCTGGGACTGAGATGCAACCTGAGGAAATACTACAGGTATACAAAAGTGAACAACAGAGAGCAAAGGGTGAGGTGGGCGCCTACTCACCTGGAATGACTCCCCAGTGCGCGACCTGCTGCCTCGAACCTCTGGAGACCCTCCCCAGCACCTAGCCGCAGTGTGTCCTCTACGACCACAGTTGGTGCAGGGGACGGCCTCCCTCGGTATCTCCCTCCTCCTCTCTCTAGCGCCAGCACCCCCGAGCTCCATAGGACTCGGCTCGGAGGTGCTGGAGGATGGAATGGACGGCCCCAACTCTGGACGTCCGCGGGTTGGCCAGCAGGGTATCCAGACAGATTGACATGTCCACCAGCTGGTCGAAGGTGAGATTGGTGTCCCTGCAGGCCAACTCTCGTCGAACGTCCTCACGTAGGCTACACCGATAGTGGTCGATGAGGGCCCTCTCATTCCACCCCGCATCCGCCGCTAGAGTCCGGAAGTCCAGGGCAAACTCCTGGGCGCTCCTCTTCCCCTGTCAAAGGTGGAACAGACGCTCTCCCGCCGCTTTACCCTCAGGGGGATGATCGAACACAGCCCTGAAACGGCGGGAGAACTCCGCGTAGCTGATGGTGGCGGCGTCTATTCCCCTCCATTCGGCGTTGGCCCACTCCAACGCCTTGCCGGAGAGACAGGAGATGAGGGCGGAAACGCTCTCGTATCCTGAGGGCGCCGGGTGTATGGTAGCCAGGTAGAGCTCCACTTGAAGGAAGAACTCCTGACACCCGGCTGCGGTGCCATCATATGCCCTCGGGAGCGAGAGCCGAATGCCACTGGACTCTGGAGCTGGTATGGTGGGGCTGGCCGATGGTGGTGGTAAGGTAGGAGGAGGTGTGGGCAAACCTCCTCTCTCCCATCAGCGCAGGGTGTCCATGACCTCCTGCATGGCGGACCCGAGTTGGTGGATTCTGGCGTCCTGGAAGCTGACCCGATCTTCCAGCGACTCGGTTCCCGCCGCTGCTCCTGCTGACTCCATAGTAATAGGTGTGTTGTTCTGTCACGATGTACTTGTGGATGTGGTGGTGAAGTCAGGCGCAGGACACAGTGGATAAGTCAAACAGCTTTACTTGACTGAATACACAATACAGAAAAGAAATGGCCTCAAAACACAGGAAGCGAAAACCTACGCGCAATGCGTAAAAACAACATAAACCAACAGACAATCGACAGGCGGACAACAACACACAACTCCAAAACATAACACAGGGAAACTTATAAGTGACATAATCAGGACAGAATACGAAACAGGTGCACTAAACTAGACATGACCAAACGAACATCGAAAACTTCAAACGGTGGCAGCTAGTACTCCGGGGACGACGAACGCCGAAGCCTGCCCGAACAAGGAGGAGGAGCAGCCTCGGCAGAATCCGTGACAACAGGGAACTCACAAGTATTCCATTACGGATGTACATATATTCAGGACTGCATGCCACATGCTTTTTTGTGCATAGCATTTCCATTAAACAAGCGGTGTAGCCATCTCTGGTAACCTAATCCCAGGCAGGGCAAACAGACAAAGGCAGTGCATGTCTTCATATACAGAGGATGAACACATGCCAAGATAAAAGCTTTCCAAGCAGAACATTGTGGTTTCCTCCGACAGAGGGACGTCTTCCGGACTGAAGCATGATGAACATGATGTCTGTATCACACCAATAATAACTATTGAGGAAAAAATAAGCAGGACAACAGAGATCTAAGATGGAAGCATTACTGTTACTGCTGCTATGGGAAAATGTGTGTAGCGTGTCGACTGTACTGCAGTAATTATATAATTTTCCACTTGATACTCCAGAGCAGAGAGAGGGCTAACAGCAGAGTCCCTGCCACGAGGAGACATGGTGATAATCACTGCTAGTAAAATATTCTAGTCATGGTGGAGCATTCCAGCTTTCCAAACGATTGCTCCTTGCAACGCTACAGTGATGAGGACTATTTATCTAGAATCCTAGGTGTTTAACTTTTTCCTGGCAAGGCTTGTGCTCTGACATATTGGAACGATCATCCAGCACAAAGGAGGGTTCCAAGAGAGTGTGAGTCTATGAACAAACTCATCAGAAACAGATAACGTTTGTATTCTTTTATCTAAAGTACATCCAGGCCCAGAGATTCTGAAAAACATCCAAAAATGTTTGGAAAGTAACTCAACAATACTGAGCTGTCTCTAGATGGGAGGGTTGTTGACGGTTCAGAAGAGAAACCCTAAGTAGTGTATTACTGTAAAGAGTATTTGTCAGTGCTGTTTAATGTGAAGAATTCCTGTAGTTGTCACAGAGTTAAGTTACAGTCTCAGTATTAATACAAGGTCTTGGATCTGATAAAAGACATTGGGGCATTGGGCTCTATTCTAGCATAACGCTCTGGCTTGGGCCCAGCAGCCGAATATAAAAGGCTCTATTTTGTGCAAAATCCCAATAGACATTTTACTGTTGTGTTTGAACACCTAGTAACTTCCATAATCAATCAAAGATGGGCTTTACAGAGTTATTTCCACTCATTTAAACCCCGCCGATTTAATGGGGCATACTCCTGCAAACACAGAGAAGCAATTTACTGAACCCCCTGATCTATCCCATTTACATCCTCCACCCAGTCTGTAAATAAATATCTCTGCTGCTATGGTTCTGTTCTCTTCTATTCTGCTACACTCGTTTGGTGGGCATGGCCTCCCTCCCTCCCCTGCCTGTGTCCCTCTCTCCCTCTCTTTCCCCTCCTTGTCTTCCCCTAAGAATGCTGGTCTCCTTTCAGCTCAGCCTATTGATTCTGTTCTCTACAGAGCACCCTTCTGAGCATGATGGCATCTTCATTAAGCGAGCTGGTGGACTGAAACCAGGCTGGCCTTTGATGACAGGCAGGCAGGCAGACAAGCAGGCAGGCAAGCAGGTGGGGAGAGGGCCCCCATGCCCCCATGCCCCCATGCCTGGACAGAGCCTGAGTTTAGGCGCAGGACCACGTTGGCCACCTGGAGTTCCAGCCACCATAAAAACAGGCAGACAGCCATTACAGAGCCATGCTCCGAGGAGTGGGAGGCACAGTTATTATAGTAATCACAATTTGCGGTTTGTGGTTGGGAGAGACAATGCCACCTTGAGTGATTTCCCCTTTCTCCCTTTGTTCCCCTTCCCATCTTTAAAACCCTGCACTATTACTACCAAAACGTAATGAAATGCCAAAGTCTGCTGAAAAAAACATGGTTGGAGAGACAGAAGAGTCAACCATTCATCTTGGCTGTTGAATCTGGGAAAGTGACTTGGATTTAGGACTTCTCTTTGAATATCTGACATCCCAATATGCAGCGTGCTCTATGACCATGTGGCTCTGATTTGAGGTTCTGGTGCAGGGAGCAAAGCTATGATTTTGGGGGAGGATGGGGAAGGAAGCGAGAACAGGTCAGCACTCGTAAATCCCCATCCCCTTTGACTGTAAAAATCTGTTTCCCCCACAGCACCGTCTCTCCCAATGGGCCCAGCCAGCTGCTCCTTCACTATGCAGCCAGGCAGCCTCCTAAACAGGCTGTTGGTGCTGCCTGCACTCTCTCTCCCTCCGACTGCTCTCCGTTTACGAGCCACACATCGAGAGCTCTTAAAGGGAGAGGCCCGTATTTGCATGTACTTTTAGCACACTGGCAGACGGCCCTGTTTCCCCATCTGCAATTGATTGTGGGTTTTTACGTCTCCAAAGAGTTTCCAATGCAGTAAAGCTACACAAGCGAGATTTCAGTTCATCAAGCTTTAAACCATCTGCGTTTGAAAAGATTGGGGCCTTAATGCACTCATATACACACCATAAGCTAATTCTAAAATAGGCACTCCAGGGGCTTAAAAAGTTTGCAGAACCTTACGGGAGGTTAGGTCTAATCTAAGCACACCACGCCACTAAGTAGTTCTGCTCACCCAAGAGGTCCAAAGCAGAGATAGGAGAGAAGTGAGGGAACAGTGGTGAGGGGCAGGGTGGGGACTCTCTCTGCAGTCACTTGTAATAATACAGATGTACAGCTTTTTCAGGGAAATAGAGGAGTGAGGAGGGGTCACTGAATCTGAAGGACTGCAAAAGTGGGTTTTATTACTACTTTGATTGTCCTTGAATGAGTTCTATGAATCTCTTTGTCAAGTGGATAAGCCACTGTTGACCTTAAAAGGTGGTCTTCAGAAGGGCTTGAGAAGATAGATGTTATAATACAAAACCATTGTCCTGGATAATCCACTGTATACCGGACATTGAAAGACTGGATACAGAACATCTGTTGTAGTAACACTGCACAGAAATGATCTTTTGATACCCATTAATACATTGCTTATCTGCATTAACAGATAAGGAGTTACTATATGACACAATGGTCAGGATTAAAAAAAGATGATCTCAGCTTAAAAAGGTCCTGAACTCAATTAAAATATACAACCTCAGAGAGAATCATGGGAAGGGAAGACAACCTGTGAAAGGACACCAACGTTGTTGAGGCAAAGAAAGCGGTCCTTCCAACACAATCTCACACTCAATTCAGCCTGAAGCTGAATGGAAAGTGCTATGCCCTGACCAGTTATTCAGAAGAAAATCCTCTGGGACTGTCTATTTGAAATAAGTTAACTTACCAGTGTGGACCCAAAACAAACTACACATTTACAAACTACCTGTTTAAAGTGTTATTACAACCATGGTGTTCTTTTGTTACTGAAGCTTATATATCAAATAACCTGACAATGATCCACATCACATGGGTAGATACATAATGTAAGTGTGTTATGCAGCAAAACACAACTATCCTTTTTTAAAGATGCAAACCAGTAATATGAATCACTGTTGATCCATCCTGTTCTGATCAAACGAGATGGATGTCAGATTTTCTACGGCCTAGAATCAAGGCCTTTCCCAGTCATGAATGACGAAGCTAGGCCCCTCTTGGTTCTCATTGGTGAGGACTGAACTCAAGTTAGGGGTTATATGTCAGACTCTCCTATACCCCTTTGCCCAACATGTTATACCCCAGAGGTTGTAAATAAACCCTTTTTAATGTGAAATAACTTGTAGCATTATTATAGGGCTGTGAAACCCATAGCCGAATGGCTTCAGACTGAGCATTTCTCACTGGAAATTGCTGCCAACATTGAACATAGATTAAGGTTAGGGTATTTAATTCATTTCATACTCTCCTATGCCATTATTTCCAACATCTTATACCCCATAGGTTGTAAATAAACCCTTTTTAAGGTGATATAACTTGAATCATTATATAGGGCTGTGATACCCATAGACAAATGGCTTCAGACTGAGCATTTCTCACCAATTATTTACAGAGAGCAATTTCTGTTTTATAACAGGTAGTGTCCATTTATTTGCAGTAGTGTGTTGATTAATTATTGCTTTCTTCAGTGGAAATACAGAATATGTATAAAAATGCCAAATACACCAAAAGCTAAATCAAGCAGAGATTTACGACTATTTAACCATGTTAATCATTACTGAAACATGCAAATTACAAACATTTAACCAGTTAAAGATAATGAATACATGACAACTAGACACACATTTTTTATTTAAAATAATTCATACAAAAGTCAACATGAGTAAAAACAAAGTAAGTGTGTGTATATGTGTGTAAGTGTTTGTGTGTGTGTCTGTGTATTATGGTGTGTATTATAATTTCACAAAATAAAAATGTATCCCCATTCCCCAATCAAATACCTTCATCAATACCAAAAATTATAATAATCAGTGTAGAACACCATTGCCCATCATGCATTGGTCTAATAACTTTCAAAAGATTGTTCCGAAGTTTGCCCCCCCAAAAATGTATTTTCCTATGAATGAAGTCGCACAAAAATGTGTGTATTTTCCTACGAAGTAAGTGGCACATAAAATTGTGTCTTTTCGTACAAATTAAGCCACACAAAAACGCATAAAAAAGCATAAAAACTGCTGAAATACTTTTTGTACATATTTGCACGAATTGAGTGTGAGATTGTGTTGGTCCTTCAGATTCCAATAAAAATATTTTAAAGTTTAAATTAAACAATAGTGACTTTGTTTTGTTGCAGTGTGATTCATCATGTCAATATTGGATTTTCTACGCGTTTCATTATAGTTATCACGTTTCTGTAAACATAACAGATAATTGCATCAACATCTTTTAAAGTGGTGTGCCTGTGGTGTGTCTGAGTTGACACAGACATGCGCCTCTTTGTGTGAAGTGTGTCTGTGAAGTGTGTGTATGTGTGTGAATGTCTGTGAAGTGTGTGTATGTGTGTGTGTATGAGTCAGTGTGTTTACTATATACCCACACCCCATCTCTCAGCTGTAAATTTGCTTAGAGAAGACACTTCATTACTCGTCTGTTCCGGCACATAAAAGCAGTCATTCTTGTTAAATGGCACCAGAAATAGAAAAGAAAGCAATTCCAAATGTAATCAAAGCGGAACAAAAAGATAAGCCAGAAACATAATACATCAATATTTCTGAGAGCATCTTTCTCTCTGATATTTCAACAACCAGGAGATGACTTAGAGACCAGAGGTGGAGAGGAGAGGAGAGAGGCATGAAGGAAAGGAGAGGTGATGATAATACAACCACCTTCTTCCTGTTTCCCACTTTCCTCACAAATGGAAAAACAGAAACAGAACTGACAAAAATACATGCAATAACGACATAATGAGCCTGATCACTTTGTGCTGGAAAACAGTATATCCCTTAGCACAATAAACTGTCTTGAAGAGAGGTATTTACCCAAGCACTATAATTTGTATTACAGATATATAATTTGGTATTGGCATGACATGTAATTTACACCCCACTGTGGTTGTCTTCATTCATAAATAGAAATATCCGCTTTCACTCACAAGACACATTACTTATATATTTTTAAACTGTGAAAAATCAGAGCACTTCAACGTGAAAATCAGAACGCACTTCAACCAGAAAATCTGGTTGTGCACAATCTCTTTTGGAGTCAATTATTCTAACCTTTCATATTAACAAATTCCTAACAAAGATGTTAAATAGGGGGGCAATAACAACAGTGAATAAATGACTGCATTAGCACAATTTATTTACGCATTTCAGCATCAATCAGAGCTAATGTGGCCTACAACAATTAGTTCCAGCCACACAGCCTCACTAAACAACCCTTTAAAGTCCACTGGTCCAAAAGGGCCTGATCTTCTAACCCAGCTTTGTCCTCACACAATGTCTATCGCCAAGTTCTTAATTCTTTCTTTTTATGCTATTCAGTAAAATTACAGATATATGATCAAACTGACTGCATGTACCCAGTAGAATGTAGCCAGTATGAAGTGTATGACTTTTGTTTTTCTATTTTAGTTTTGCCAAAACACCATTAATTCTCATTTTGTCTGAATAAAATATGTAGCTTTGTATAAAGCATTGCTTCATGAACCTGGAGGGGGGAAAGAGTTTCCAATGCAGTAAAGCTACACAAGTGAGTTTTCAGTTCATCAAGCTTTAAGCTGCCAGTTTATGCTCTAATTCTCTTAGCTAGGGCATGAAGTAATGAAATGCATATTGAATGCGTAGTTCATCTAAAGTAATCTAACCCTCCAGTCAGCTAGCTCCGCAGTCTGCATACCTAACACCATATGTAAATCACAATCACACAATCTCTGCTATCTCTCCTTCCACTAGTTGGTCTCAAGTAGTAGCCACAGTATGTGCTTGCAGTGCTGGCTGGAGCCCCAGTGTGTAGAGCTCTGCCACTCTGTCAGGGCTGTGCTGTGCTCCAGGTGTCTACAGAGGCCTCCTGTCTGTCTGGCCGCCTTACCCACACTGGCACCTTCCATATGTGCCCTTCCTGACAACTTCTGTCATGTCATATGTCCTGCATCCTACGCTGGCTGGTCTGGTAGTATCTCTCTGCCTCTCTCGACCCAGCTGGACACGTTAGCAACACTACAGCACCAGCAGCAGAGGAGTGGAACCCCCCCCCCCCCTTATTCAGAGCTGGTGTTTAGAAGGCATGAATATAAAAGCATAAATTATTAATGGTGAGGAATTAGCCTTTGAAGAATCAAGAGTATCAAATCTCACCTTAATGGGCTATAGAGCCCCACAGTGGATGTGTCATAATACCCATAAAACCTAGCGGTCAAACAGGGAAATGGTTCCAATCGTTTTCCACCATTCATTTTTCCCATAGGGGATTTTAGAACCACATAAAATAAAGGCTGTGTTTTGTGTAGGTTTACCCTGGCGTGACATTTTGATAACTGTGTAAATATCTCTCGGACAAGGTGACTTTTATCAATATATTTGGCTCTATTTACCCTCAGATTCAAAAATGCTAATTAGCATGAAAGTAGATATCATGCAAGGCTACAAATCCCTGCAAGTTCCTGCACATCATCTTTAGCTGACATCTTTGCTAACAGGTATTGTGTAAATGTAAAACTTGCCCAAGACAGTTCACAGAATTGTAAATTTAAGGAAATGTAGACAATTTATTCATTACTAAATTGAGTTAATGTTAGATAGTTAATCCAAAGATTCTTACCTTTGCCTCGATTCGGCAGTCTCATCCAGATCATCATGGCATTTGTAGTTCTGTATGATAGCCACGTTAGCAGCTAATTAGCATATCATTTTGGGGGGGAAAACATAGGCAAATATATTGATAAAAGTCACCTTGTCTGAGAGATATTTACATGGCTATCAAAACGTCACGCCAGGGTAAGCCTACACGAAACACAGGCCTATTTTAAGTGTTTCTAAAATGAATGGTGGAAAAACAATTGGAACCATTTCTCTGTTTGACCGCTAGGTTTTATGGGTATTATGACTCATACTGTGGTACTCTAATGACATTGTTTTACCATGCTGTCATTCCGTTGTGGTGGCATTGGACTCAAATCAACAATGTAGTTGCTATATTGGACAGAGTGTTATCATTTCTGGGCAGAAGTTTACCTGGCCCTATACCAGTGTTCCTCAGCGATGCCCATTGGAGCAGCAAAGCCGTCCCGAGTGACATGGTTACAGTTCGTCACTAATGGCCTGGTTACAGTTCTCCCCTAGTGGCCTAGTTACAGTTCGTACCTAGTGGCCTGGTTACAGTTTGCCCTGGCAATTTGGGGGATAATTAAGTGGTACATCTTCCCCAGTTGTATGATAGTGGTGCATCAGATTACAGCAGCCATCCCTGAGCTGAGTAATGGGATTCCATCCCACAATGAGCTGCTCACCTGATAAGAAACCAATTCAGTCTCCCCTTCCTCCCCATATTAGCAGCAGCTTCCCTGGCTCACCTTGGGCTAATGAAACGCCTAAACAAATAAGTCCTCAACAATTTAATAGAGTTACACACTGTATAGAACATAGTCAGAAGCATAGATGGGTATATGGAGGTCTTATTCATCGACTGCAGGGCTCCATGGAAGTCCCATGCAGAATGCTAATGGTTTTGATTGAGGGAGGGGGGAATATTGTTGCAGCTACCACACTGTAACTATTGATAGCCAGGACAATCACTATTGAGCTGAAATATGACTATCCCTGCAACTACAATACATGTGATTCACTGCCTGTAACACAACACAAAATGGGACACTACCATTTTATGTGCTCATCATCTTTTTTTGTGAGTCACCCCAAACACATCTTTTGAGTGGTGTAAAATACTTTCCCGTCAGACATGACTGACACGGTGATAACAGTAATTCCTCTCAGAACCACAGCATTTATCGGTCACTCATTGACAGCTCTGGTGTTGGGCGTGTCTGTGTTTGTCATTCAAACAGCCCTTCAGTGTGTGTGTGTGTGTGTGTGTGTGTGTGTGTGTGTGTGTGTGTGTGCTTGCGCATGTGTATATGTCGGACCAGAGTAGTGAAGTGGACTTAGACTAGCAGTCCCTCTGTCTTTTAGAGCTCAGGACAAAATGACATGCTGCCAGTGAGCTGTCGGGGATGGGTCTGATTAAACGATCAGAGGGGGATGGTAGGGTTTTAGCAACCATTTTATCCCCTAAATGATGAATGTGGGCTAACAGAGAGAGAGTGAGAGAGTGAGAGAGAGAGAGAGAGAGAGAGAGAGAGAGAGAGAGAGAGAGAGAGAGAGAGAGAGAGAGAGAGAGAGCGACACAGACAGACATACAGAGAGAGAGAGCGACACAGACAGACATACAGAGAGAGAGAGAGAGAGAGAGAGAGAGAGAGAGAGAGAGAGAGAGAGAGAGAGAGAGAGAGAGAGAGAGAGAGAGAGAGAGAGAGAGAGAGAGAGAGAGAGACAGAGATTGGGTACTGTGTTTGTGATGAATGATTAACCTCCATTAATCATTTAGAATGAAAGGTAAAGGCTAGCTTTGTCTTTAGCTGTTTGTCCCCTATACCCCCTACCCTCTCTACATGTGTGTGGGTGTTTTTTGTGCTTTCCCACAGCCCAGGGGTGTCATTCCAGCCCCAGAGGAGACGGCCTCAATAAAACATTGTGTTTTTGCTCAATAAGGCCTTGTTAAGGCTGCTCCCGTGCCACACAACAGATAAATCACTAAAGCAATATAACCCAGGCAAGCAACTCCTCTATTAACATTCCAGCTCTAATAGTATTACCAGAGGGTTGCAGACAGAATTCTGTGTTTGTTGGTAGACTGAGGCATCACTACTCATCTGAGGGCTTGTCAAGTCATCATCAAACATTTGTGTCTCACAAAACACACGCCCCACTCTGTTCTGCCACCCCTCTGCCACAGACATGCTGCCTTAGGGTCACATCAAATGTCCTCTATCGCCCTCCCCCTTTCTTCACTCCACCTACCTCCTTCTGTTTCTTTCTGTTTCTCTCTCTCTCTCTCTCTCTCTCTTCATTGTTTATAGCTATAGTTATGTGCTTGATTGGGGGTGGTGAATTAAAACCTTTACCCTCGTCTCCTCACACCCCGTTAATTTTCCCCTCGTCAACAAGTACTAGCAGCCGAGGACGGGAGCCGTTCACATGAGAAAAAAACATTCACACCAGTCACATCCAATTTTCTTTTTCATTTGTTTCTTTCAAGGAACACCCCGCCCCCAGCAAATCAAATCAAATCAATGTTTATTGGTTGCGTACACAGTTTAGCAGATGTTATTGTGGATGCAGCTAAATGCTTGGTACAGCGGGTACAGCTTTAGGTTCCAAACGTGTCTGATTAACAGAAACACACACACTTTCTCTCTCTCTCTGTAACATAAGGGGGAGGTACGACGCCGGCTCTGCTAATTAGGGGTGACATGATGTTTATGTAACCTCCAAGCCTCCCAAACCAGATGCAATTACAGGCTCCTGGTCCCATTGACCCCAGCTCCAGCCCACTGTGGAACCACACAGCACTCTGCCCCTCTATCCCAAGTAAGATCCAGGCTGGTCGCAGGGCAGGGGAGGGGGAGGGGGAGTGAGCCAGAGTTCAGTCTCTTTCACAGCTCTCTCTGACGGTAGCCCTGGCGCTGTAATCCAAAGTGACGGCCACTTCAGTGGAGACGGCGCAGAGCCCCCCAATTTCCGCCAGGACCCCACGGCAGGGGGAGGGGGTTCAGGAGGGGTAGTAGAGAAGGCTGGGGCAGGGGTGGCAGACTTATTGTGGCCCAGTGAGGGAGAGTTGAGGCAGGGTCCTCATTAAAAGCCTTTACTGCACTCTGAGGTCCCTCATTAACCCCCACAACAACCACTCACTATCACACTATCAAAAAGAGGTGGTTATTTCAATACAAACATCCATTTATCCAGTTATATTAATTAATCTGAGAGATGCTTTTAATCATTATTAATTGACTGACTCTAAAGGAGGCGGCGTAGTATTGTATACTGTTTTCTCAAAAACAAATCTGATTCAAATGTGTCAAAAATGTGTTGTAAGAGGCCCATATATTGTATTCCGCATAACTCTTTCTGCCTCTTTACTTCCTTGCATCTCTGCTTGAATCATAGTGAGTCACATCAGCTTAAGAACTAAAGTAAGAGGTAAAGGAGGGGTGAAGTTGTATAGTTAAACACAGCCAATATGTCCACTTTAATAATGCACAGTAACATAGGGCTTTGGGGAGCTCAGTCATAGAAGTCTCTCCTCAGTCCAGTCAGATGATGAGAGATGACAGGCACTTACGCATACTGCCAACAGGACACAAAGCCATGGCGTAGATAAAGCCTGTAGCCCATATCCCCGGTCATCAGTGCTCAGGCAGCACAGCCTGGCACACCAAATGATGCGTCTCATACAGACAATTAAAGAGCAAATCAATGCTGCTGCTTGGATGAAATAATGGAGGCGCAGTCATCTACAACCACAAAGCACACAGTGGAAAACATGCACTGCTACCATAGTTACGGGAGACAGCCAGTGATTGGAGCATGCTTCTCCAAGATCCCAAAGATGAAAAAGTTAAGCCAATCACACAGACCTGTTTTTGATTAGATGTTATTATTCACTGGAAAGACAGTGGTCTCTTACTAATTGTCCCATTACTGTTTTGGGTGCAGTTTATAATGTAACTCTTAGAGGGAACGGGGATCACAGTGAATTCAAGGCATATTACCAAATACTTTATAAGCTTCAAAGTAAGACTAGAGATGAGTGGGTGGATGAAGCAAGGGCCTGAGATGTTAGAACTATAATCACTGAGCAGCAGTCAAGGGAGACAGGAGGGAAAGTAGTGCTCACTGAGCTACTCTGTCTGAGAGCCCTGATGAGGTCACACTCTTGAGGACCAACAGGCCATCAAACCCTGCCTGAGACATCATCAACAGACATCTCACTTCGTTTTAGAACAAATCTGCATACTTACTCCACATTAGAGAAAAGTTAGACTGCATCATTGTGTGTGTGTGTGTGCGCGTGCGGTGTGCGTGTATGCGAGAGAGACAGAGAGAAGACAGGCTATGTGCGCACTGCCCACAAAATGAGGTGGAAACTGAGCTACACTTACTAACCTCCTGCCAAATGTATGATCACATTAGAGACACATATTTCCCACAGATCACACAGACCCGCAAAGAATTTGAAAACAAATGGAACATTGATAAACTCCCATATCTGTTAGGCGAAATACCGCAGTGCGCAATCATAGCAGCAAGATTTGTGGCCTGTTGCCATGAGAAAAGGGCAACAAATGGAGCACAAACATTATAAATACCACCAATATTTATCTGTTTATTTATTTTCCCTTTCATACTTCAACTATTTGCACATTGTTACAATACTGTACATAGCCAATAATATAACATTTGAAAGGTCTATATTCTTTTAAAACTTTTGTGACTGTAATCAATGTGACTACTGTGGCTATTTTGACTACTGTGGCTATTTTGATCCTAATGTAGGCCTACCATAGTGGCCTACCATCAAAAACAATGGACAAAATGCATCACCTAACATTTTAACATGGAAATAGCTGTTCTATCAGTCAGCCTACAGTAGCAGCCAATGTGTGGTGTTCAATGTAGGCCTACATTCCATGAGACTTTCGGAAAAAAAACTGCAGGACTTGACATTAACCTGTTTATCCACTTGTCCTTCAGACAAGGAGGTGACTGAAAATGGTGTTGTGTTGTTTGGTGCAAGAAACCACTTTACAAAATAACATGCATTATTATTCCCATACCATTATTACAGAGAAACAGACAAATTATGCTACCCTCTGCTTATTGGCTACCTAGCTTATTCAAGCCTGTCTCTCTTATTCAACACAGCTCTTTACCTGACTCGCTTTTCAAAGATGTCTAGAAATGTACACGTTTTGTGCTCTTGTAGGAAGCAGTCCCTCCCCTATTACTGACTACAAATGATATATAACTGGGCTAATAACTCACTAACTAGCAAAGGATATGAACAAAATGTGCAAACGTGGATACATGCAGCTCTTACTTTGATCTCAAAACAAGCACATCTACTTACGACCACAGCTGTAAGCACAGTCCAGATCAAAGTAAATGGCATAGATCCATATATGGCAATGGTCTATTTGCATATAGGCCTACTACAGCTCTGATTGTTTATGCTGCGCGAGCTGAGTAGTGTACGGGCTGAGTCATGCGTGTCAATGCAATAGAATCCTACTCCGATGTGTTCTGCCTACAACAAAATATATTGCATATTTCCTTTTGTTTCGGTATGTTGCATTGAAAGTGGCTAATATTGCGTTGATTCGATCACAATTGCCACAGTAAAGGGAAACGTTGATAGTGTTAACTAACAGGGAAAAGTCTAGAAAGTTGAGTGAAGTTCAATCTCATGCTTCTCTCTGTGGGCTGATACAGTATTTTTCTGCGCAACAGTCCCGGGGGAGCTGCGCGGCAGTTTCGCGGCTGCTGCTCGCCTGCGCATGTGCGCAGTTTACAGGGAACATTGAGTGTAATGTTTATTTCCCTTGTTGTTTTCTGTTTTGTTTATTGTCTATTCCACTTGCTTTGGCAATGTAAACATATGTTTCCCATGCCAATAAAGTAATTTGAATTGAATTGAATTGAGAGACAGAGAGAGCATAAGGAAGGCTCTACTCACCAGCCTGGTTGGTTGTGATGTTGACGGAGGAGTACTGTGGTGAGTAGGGGCTCTGGTCGGAGACCCCGTTGACGGCCTGCACCTCAAAGGTGTACTGTGTGTGGGCCAGCAGGTCACTGATGTAGACCCGGGGCTCAGTCAGACCCAGCTGGCGGGGTACAAACTGGACGTTGTCGCCACAGCGCGTGCAGCCTCCCCGGCCCCCTCCACAGCTCTTACAGATGATGTTGAAGACCACATCCTCACGACCACCTGACTCCCTAGGAGGCTGCCACTCCAGCATCAGAGACGTCTCGTTCACGATGGACAGAACATTCTGAGGTGCAGACGGCACCGCTGGAGAAACACAGACAATAGACAGTCAACATCTTAGTTGGTTTCTATTTGGAATGTGAGAAGCATTTACAGAAGTCTCATATGTAGAGTATGGTTTGGCTACAGACTTGAGGTGTAAGACCAAAAAAATTTGGAGAAATGATAGGGACTCAATCTACTCTAGTCAGTTCAAAAGCACTACTTCATGACATTTCATTTAGATGTTGGCAGGGGAATTATGTTGCTTGTGTCCTTGGAGTTCTGGGAGGTGAGAATACCAGAGCCAGTATCACTCTACTCAAATAACTCCTTCACTGGAGAAGAGAGAAACCACATGCCCACAAATACAGTACAGTCTCTTTGAGGTCTTTGCCTGGTATGCTCAACTTAATAGGATGCCCATTTAAACACACTGATCTTCAACATCAGGTGACTTTTGATGTCTATTATGCCACATATTTGTTTCAATCTGTTGGTTATGTATAGCAGAGCACCAAGTAGACATACTGCAGGACAGAGAAAGTGACTGTTCCTCAAAGTAACATTCCCCACGGCATTACATTTGACTGACAGGCCAAACAAACGCACAATGGGTACTGTTTATCTTTTATGGGCATGTGCAGCTAATTAGGGAGGATGCTCTCTCCAGTGCTAATGGGATAAACAAGGAAATTCCCCCCGCCCACAAACTCCTAAACCTGAATTGATCACTTATTTAACCACCCTTTTAATTGGCTGCCATTAAGAGACTTCCAGGCCTGGAGCAGTGCCCATCGAGGCCCTCTGTCTGTCTGTCTGTCTGTCTGTCTGTCTGTCTGTCTGTCTGTCTGTCTGTCTGTCTGTCTGTCTGTCTGTCTGTCTGTCTGTCTGTCTGTCTGTCTGTCTGTCTGTCTGTCTGCCTGCCTGCCTGCCTGCCTGCCTGCCTGCCTGCCTGCCTGCCTGCCTGCCTGCCTGCCTGCCTGCCTGCCTGCCTGCCTGCCTGCCTGCCTGCCTGCCTGCCTGCCTGCCTGCCTGCCTGCCTGCCTGCCTGCCTGCCTGCCTGTCTGTCTGTCTGTCTCTCTCTCTCTCTCTCTCTCATGCAAAACAGCCTCCTAAACATCGTCTCCTTCCTGGGGAGGGTTGGGATGAGCGGCTAATGGCCCCAGTTAGCTCGCGGGCCACTCGAATGGGCCTGTTTCCCTTATTTAATCAGCCCGGGCCCGCTGTGTTTAATACCAGCGACGTGACGCTGCTTTCTCATTCAGCTGCTCTGCTCCCAGAGCCGGGCTTATGCAAATCTCCTTTGTTGGAAGCGCTCAAATCTTTCTCTCCCTCTCCCTTTCACAAAGGAGGGAAGGAAAAAAAACAGCGAGGGTGGTGAAAGGAGCGGTCTCTCGCTCTCTTCTTCTCTTCCCCCTCTCTCCTCTCTCCCCCTTACTCTTTTCTTAGTACACTATATATACTGCATATTCCTCTCTCTCCTCTCTATGTTTCTGTATTTCCCTCACTCTTTCTTAGACCCTCCGTCAACCACAAATTCCTATTCAAATGGCTTCATTGGTATGACAAGAGGAATATTGGTGCAGTCTATTCTCTCCGTCTGTCCCACTACAATGCTGCATGGCCTGGCCCAGTAACCTCTGCTTTAGCTGAGGGCAGCAGGGCTCTGTGATGGGAGGAGGGGATGGTGGCCTGTGTGTGTTGGGCCAGACCTGTTGACATGTGCTCTATGAGCATGTCAGTGCTGGGTGTATGTGAGGGACTCCTCTCTAACAGGACTGTTTCTGCTCAGAGAGGCTCTGTTGTCTTTTGATTTCTGATTCCTGTCAGTTCCTCAGGACCAGGGTGTGAAATTAAAAGAGTGTGAGTGTGTGTGTGTGTGCATTTGGTCGATAGTACGTACTTGTGCAGGGCATCTGGATGGGATCTGAGTCGGTGCGATAATAACCGTTGCGGCACACACAGTTAGTGGCTCCTTCGTTGGTGGTACGGCTGTTGATTGGACACTGCATGCAGGATGCATCACCCTGTATAGGCTTGAAGAAGGCCGATGGACAAGCTGGAAAAAATAACACGAGAGAGAGAGATGAGATATGAACATATTACCATTTACATATTTCATGTTTGGTCGGTTTTAATCCCCGTTTGCCTGCATCTCACTTTACGAGACATGCCATCCAGCCGCCACAATGCAAAAGACTCTCATTTGAGGAAGTCTGTGGGGATGACAACTGTGTTTTTCTTTCATTATTCAGCTTGCTCACAGCGCGCTGGTTGCCTGAGATCTTCTGGAGTGGTCTACTTCCTGTAAGTGCTCTTTAAGGTCCTGAGTGGGAGGAAAATGTACAGCTATGGATAGGGATGGCGATGATCACACACCACTGCATCGAAACTGTGTGTGTACGTGTGTGTGTGTGTGTGTGTGTGTGTGTGTGTGTGTGTGTGTGTGTGTGTGTGTGTGTGTGTGTGTGTGTGTGTGCGTGTGTGTGTGTTTGTGCATGTTCAAAAAGCAGTGAAGCACTACCATTTACAGTGAAACTCACTCTCTCTGAATTCCCTTTATCTTTACCTCAGATCCACCTGCCCCGCCAAACACACACACACACACACACACACACACACACACACACACACACACACACACACACACACACACACACACACACACACACTGTGGAACCCTTCCCAGAATGCACAGCAGCACCTGCTCAAGCACCATGTCAAGAGCTGTTTTTGTACTGGGGCCAAACCAGCTGAGGTTGGTTTAGCTTGAGATAATCACCACCCACCTCTCCCTCTCCATCTGTAAGAGGATGAAATGGAGTGGTGTGGGGACTTGCTACGAGCTAAAGCAACACATGACAAATTCACACACAGGAGGTGCCACACTTATGAATGACCTCCACAGCGTTCTGAATGTCCTTATGCCAATGCTACCAGAGAGCTATCCCTGTTGTCATTGAATAAAGTTTAGCTGAATCAATGTCAAGGTAGTCTATAGCTTGTTAACACTATCTTCTAAAATGTGTTCACAAAACAATAGTAACACATCATTCAAGAAAATCTACTATAGATGCATCGACTATTCCCATGAAACCGTTTGAGATCAAATGGTTGGCATGCAGATGCAGCTTGGCATGCGTGGAGAATTATCATTCACAATTGGCAGTGATGATGGCATATTCGGTGTTTGAGGGTATTAAAAAAAGAACATTTCTAGGCATAAGCAGAGCTTGCATTTGGAGGATGCATTTTATGCATATATTCTAAAATAGCCCAATATTATTCAATAGACTACATCAGTCGGTACACACTTAGAGAAATGATGATGTAATTTACTATTCTTTTGCTCTCCGGCACCTAAATAAATACCTCTACACCACTGAATACATTATGGTCAGGAACCCACAGAGCAAAATAAACATATCTGAAGGGATCCTTATCCTGTTGAATACTCTGCATCATATCCCATCTCACACTCTGACTATGTTCCATATCCCATCTCACAAACTCTGACTATGTTCCATAGCCCATCTCACAAAGTCTCACTATGTTCCATAGCCCATCTCACAAACTCTATGTTCCATAGCCCATCTCACAAAGTCTCACTATGTTCCATAGCCCATCTCACAAACTCTATGTTCCATAGCCCATCTCACAAAGTCTCACTATGTTCCATAGCCCATCTCACAAACTCTGGCTATGTTCCATAGCCCATCTCACAAAGTCTCACTATGTTCCATAGCCCATCTCACAAACTCTGGCTATGTTCCATAGCACATCTCACAAAGTCTCACTATGTTCCATAGCCCATCTCACAAACTCTATGTTCCATAGCCCATCTCACAAAGTCTCACTATGTTCTATAGCCCATCTCACAAACTCTATGTTCCATAGCCCATCTCACAAACTCTGGCTATGTTCCATATCCCATCTCACAAACTCTCACTATGTTCCATAGCCCATCTCACAAACTCTGACTATGTTCCATAGCACATCTCACAAAGTCTCACTATGTTCCATAGCACATCTCACAAAGTCTCACTATGTTCCATAGCCCATCTCACAAACTCTGGCTATGTTCCATAGCCCATCTCACAAAGTCTCACTATGTTCCATAGCCCATCTCACAAACTCTGGCTATGTTCCATATCCCATCTCACAAACTCTGACTATGTTCCATAGCCCATCTCACAAACTCTGACTATGTTCAATATCCCATCTCACAAACTCTGACTATGTTCCATAGCACATCTCACAAAGTTTCACTATTTTCCATAGCCATCTCACAAAGTCTCACTATGTTCCATATCTAGGAAAAATAAAACAGTCTTATCCCTATCCATCCCTGGTCTGAGCTGGCAATTACAGCTGGATTAAAATATGTGCTTTATTTGGAGAAGGTCACATCACAAGGCAGGATAAATCTTGATTCAATCCCACTGTTTATACTAGGAAGACAGATCCCAGTTCCCAGTCACCATGCTGGAGCACCATGCTGGAGCAAGATTACTGCTCTTTTCCAATCCCACCTCCTGACAAACTCTCTGTAGAACACATCGCAATCATCATCCTCCCACCAAAACTGCTAAACACACTATTGCACTTCTGGCCCATCAAACTCGGATTCCTTAGAAAAAACTGTCTCACACACACATACAGACACAGAGAGAGGACAATGTTCCGTGAGGCTGATGCAGCTTGTGGATAGCTAAAGCAAAAATAAATATTCAGCGAGAGGCTCTTGATTTGGACGAGATCATAGTCATAAACGTCAGCCACAGGAAAAGGTATTGGGTATAAAAACAGAGAAAATCTGATCGAGCTCTTCAATAAATATTAGTCTTGACATGTTTTTCTTCTCACGTGATTGATGGAGGAAAGCGGCCCGGTACAGAGTGAAACATGAGGCCGGCACATTCACACTGCCAGTCACCAGAGTCACAGAATGAGGCCCCAGCTACAGCTCTGTGGATTGGGACTGGGACTAAAGGACACAGTGAAGTCTAAGGCAGTGAAGAGGTCAGAGGAGCACGATACCAAAGGAAATAGCAGAAAGAGCCAGCGAGAGGGAAAGGAGAAGGGGTGGAACAGAGGAGATAAAAAGAGAAAGACAGAAGGCAGTGTTTAGGCTTGAGTGAATGAGTGTGTTAAGGAGTTCAGGCCAAGTATGTTTAATATGGATGAGAGAGTTGGGAAGGAGGCACAGTGTCAAAAACGAGGTCTATTGTTTGGTAGCCAGATATGGCCAGGAATGTCCAGACAGACAGACATACAGACATACAGACAGAACAGGCTGTGTTAGGTGTGGGCTCAGTCTGTCACCGCCAGGCAGGGCCGGCTCTAGCCTTTTGGGGGCCCTAAGCAAGATTTGGTTGAGGGTGCCCTCACCAAGCCAGAAAAATGTTTTAGTGGCCCCCCTCTTGACAGGCCATTTTGCCATGGGACGTATATATATATTTTTGTAATTTTATAACAAATGTCATGCAATTCTTCTCATTTTGCCATAGGGCAGAGAGACATATTTGCAGTTTTAAATCTAATTTCCTGCAATTCTACACATTTTGCCATGGGGTGAAGATACATTTTTGCAGTTTTAATGCTATTTTCCTGCAATTTGACACATTTTGCCATAATTTATGACATGTTAATGATATCTCAGTGAGAGTGACTAACAAAATCAATGGGGGCCCCCTGGAGGTCAGGGCCCCTTGGCACGTGCCCTGCATTCCTGGTCGGTATTCGGCCATGATTACTACAAGTTTAGATAACTGGCTAGACTAACTTATCAATCAAAAAAATTTAGTGACTGTCAGTGACTGACAAAACAAGAGAAAAACTGCTGATGCACAAACAAATTTTTTACTTACACCTAGTGTATTCTACTATTTTAATGCTCAACAGTTGAGACCCTGACTGAGTTCCTTTTTCTGGTCAGGGGCCCCCTAGTGGCCGGGGGCCCTAAGCGATTGCTTATGCCTGGAGCCGGCCCTGCTGCCAGGCCTTTATTTTGGGGGGGAATTCCATCAGTCTTTCAAGAGGCTGTGTTGGAGGGCTAAGGAGCTGCTTGGTGTCAGATGTAGCCTGCAGAAAAGTACAGAGCTCTGATTAAAAAGCAGATCAGCACTATGATTCCCTCCTCGCTCAGATTGGTACTGTTGAGCTGTTTGATCACAATCTCCCTCGAATCCCTCAGTCGACATGCAAGGGTGAAAGCCTTTTTTGGATGTAGCTTCCAATTTCAGACATCCCTCTGGCAAGGGGAGGGAATATGAGGGGAATATTCATTGCTGGAGTTTTATATTCCCTCCTTTCTTTTATTCTTTTTAAATACATGTCTATTAATATCATTAAATAAATAAGCCATTTTTTTCTCAGCTCTTAGAACCCATGGATTTTGACAGAAGTGATGAAACGCCACATTAAGTCAAGAAGAAAAGGCACACAGAAACATTCTAATGGAATTTATAAACACTTCGGATTTAATTTAGTGGCAGCCGTGTCAAAGGGTCCAGATGACCTCAAAGTGGTTCCAGGCACATGTCAGAAAAGGAAAGGCTTGGCTGTCACATCTCAATGACTGCTGTTCTCCGGAGCAGAGGCAGTGACTGGCTAGAGGCCAACCCTTTCTGTCTGTGTTTATGACTTCTAATAACACATCCTGACATAAAGAATTTAATTGGGAGTACTGTAGACCCACTGTATAAAAAATGTATTGTGAGAAGTGAGTCCTCCGTGCAAGGGAGCCAGTCAGGTTTTACAGCAGGTATATTGCTAGTTGTTTCAAAAGGTTCCTGGAAGTTTTAGCCAGCCAGGCAGATTTATGTCAGAGGAAAGGAAAATACACTGTATCTACCCTAGTCTGTATTTGTGTGTGAGGTGGGCCTCCATTGTTTTTGGTGACAATGCCGATTATGGAGCCAGCCACTCTACTGGAAGCATTCTGAGCTGCCGGTAAATCTGGCTTCTCCAGCTCAGTTTGCTTACACACAAACACACACACACACACAAAGAGACACACACATGCACAAGCACACACACGTGCACACACACACACACACACACACACACACACACACACACACACACACACACACACACATACATGCAGGCAGCACAGCAGCAGAACGGTGAGCCCAGACAGCCAGGAGGAACAAAATAAAGGCTGGGCATTTGACATTTCCATCATGGCTGTCTGAGCTGTGCAGTGCTTCACCATGGCCAGGGAATCATCTGGCTGAAAACAGCCACTAATCCAGCCAGAGCAGGTCTATTGAGAAAAACCCATGACCTGTTCCACACCTCCCTCCCCCCTGTCCCCCCCTCCATCCCCCAGCAACCCCGCCCGACAGAGAGGTCCTTTGTCCAGAAGGCTGGGGGACTGCAGCAGTGACGGTGAACACCCCCACCCCCTCTCCTGTTTCCCCATTCCTCCTATTCAGCTGCTTCAAAACCAGCCCCTAAAACTGCTGCATTTAATGAAAGCAGCATTAAAAAGAGACAAGGGAGAGAAAGAGGGGTGAGGTGTGTGTGCATGTGTGCTTGCGCGTTTGTGTGTACTTTCGTACATGTGTGTGTGAGTGTTCATTACGTGTGTGTGTGCTTCTGTGTGAGAATCAGGGATGTGTGAAAGAGAAAATGCTGGGGGAAAAAAGAATTGGAGGTGTGAAGGTTTGTTAGCGCAGCAGAAAAAAGTGCTGAAAGCGGTGAAAATGGCCAGAGTCACAGGGCTTCTCTGTGTGGAAGTGTATTTCCAATTGCCACTGAGAGGACTACTGTAGGGAGAAACGGGCATGTGCATGGCTTTCCTGCTCTCTGTCTACTGTCTCTGTCTACTTTATAAACAATTTGGATGAATCACTGGGAAATAGAGATCAGATGTTATCCCTTAATAAGGATAGACCATAAAGAGAGATGACTGTTTTGTGCCATACTTACTGTCCCACGATGGAGCAGATCAAATCCAAATTAGATTAGGAAAAACAGTCAGCTATAATAGGGACAGCTTGCAAATATGAATGATTTTAAAGTCTCTGTAGTGGTCACATGTGAGGAGAAGCTAACCTTGTGATGGGCCTAAGGAGAGCATCCATAATGTAGGTAGGAGGTGTTTAGTACAACAGCCAGTCTGTCCCCTCCATGTAACCCTTCCATAGGGAACACACTCTTTTTGGCTGAGTGGTGACGCAGGGCCCCAGAATTCAATTAGGGCCCGGGCCTCGCCAGCTAATTCAATCAGGACGGTGTGAAAGCAATAACACGACTCGCATTCGCTTCACCCCACACATGGGCACAAATGAGATATTCACTTCCCTCTCTAGGTTTCCCTGTCTGATGCAATTAGCATGCCTGTATCTCACCGTGGCTCGCACTGGGGAGCAGGGTGTGAGGCTGACCATCAATGATCTACTTGACGTAAATTAAGATTCTCTCCACATCCTAGACAGGACAGGAACACTTCCAGTGTGAGTCGGATGCCCATTGGCACTACTGAGGAGAGGAGGAGAGGAGAGGGCTGGAATGCTAGGGTGATTCAGAGGCTGGGGTCAGAACAGCAGCCCTCACTGGTGATGTACTCCCCTCTACGCCCAGTGATGGCTGAGCTCCTGTCATCTTACATTCTATGCATCTGTGTGTACACTACACATGTATGTAGGCCAATTGGGTCTCTGTGTATTCATTATGCATGAATGTGTGAGTGTCTGCAGAAGGATGTGGCAGGTGGAAAGTGACTCTTCGTCAGTGCCCCTGCTCTAAGCCATGTCTCCTCTACAGTTGTCAGTGAGCTCTCCTCAGACAGCATCCAGCCCAAATCCAACCAGCGGGCGCCGTGGAGACAGATTAGGTGCTCTGGCGGAGCCCATGTGAGCAGGAGATTAGTAAGAAATGTGTGAGACACCTGGGAAATGGTCTCTCAGTGGGCAGGCTCACCAGCACAACAGCTGGAGAGGGGAGGACCCAATTTTACAACACAGACTAGACAGCCAGCACACGTCCCAACACACACACACACACGATACTCACCGTATGCATTTTTAAACAACCCCTGTCCACAACCCACAGGTCAATTTCAGCTATCTATATGTCTCCTAGGTGTCAAATACAAGGCTCAAATGTACCCTGTGTCCCTGTGTTGGTATCAGAGGTTTCCCTCCATGTGAATACCCACAGTATAACTGTGTTATGGTTAAGCAATCAAGGACAAAAGTCACGTGTGACAGGCTAACATAGTAGCTCACTAAAAATAATATGTTGGTGGATTAAAGGTGTTGTAACCTGATAACACCAGTAAAGCCAAACATCCCCATTCATTATGCCCATTCCTTCAGCCTTCCGCATGCTGGTGCCTAGTGTGCTCACATACTGATTGAGTGTGCTCGCATACTCCTTCAAAAAGACCTACGCTTGAAAAACAAGAAAAAAGCAGCAATAGTACTGTTTGTCTATCTTGAGACGCTGTAGCCAGTATACACTTCCTCAAAATAGTCAGAATTAATCTAAAATAACTCAAGAAATACAGTGGGGAGAACAAGTATTTGATGCACTGCCAATTTTGCAGGTTTTCCTACTTACAAAGCATGTAGAGGTCTGTAATTTTTATCATAGGTAAACTTCAACTGTGAGAGCCGGAATCTAAAACAAAATTTCAGAAAATCACATTGTATGATTTTTAAGTAATTCATTTGCATTTTATTGCATGACATAAGTATTTGATCACCTACCAACCAGTAAGAATTCCGGCTCTCACAGACCTGTTAGTTTTTCTTTAAGAAGCCCTCCTGTTCTCCACTAATTACCTGTATTAACTGCACCTGTTTGAAATAGTTACCTGTATAAAAGACACCTGTTCACACACTCAATCAAACAGACTCCAACCTCTCCACAATGGCCAAGACCAGAGAGCTGTGTAAGGACATCAGGGATAAAATTGTAGACCTGCACAAGGCTGGGATGGGCTACAGGACAATAGGCAAGCAGCTTGGTGAGAAGGCAACAACTGTTGGCGCAATTATTAGAAAATGGAAGAAGTTCAAGATGACGGTCAATCACCCTAGGTCTGGGGCTCCATGCAAGATCTCACCTCATGGGGCATCAATGATCATGAGGAAGGTGAGGGATCAGCCCAGAACTACACGGCAGGACCTGGTCAATGACCTGAAGAGAGCTGGGGCCACAGTCTCAAAGAAAACCATTAGTAACACACTACGCCGTCATGGATTAAAATCCTGCAGCGCACGCAAGGTCCCCCTGCTCAAGCCAGCGCATGTCCAGGCCCGTCTGAAGTTTGCCAATGACCATCTGGATGATCCAGAGGAGGAATGGGAGAACGGCATGTGGTCTGATGAGACAAAAATAGAGCTTTTTGGTCTAAACTCCACTCGCCGTGTTTGGAGGAAGAAGAAGGATGAGTACAACCCCAAGAACACCATCCCAACCGTGAAGCATGGAGGTGGAAACATCATTCTTTGGGGATGCTTTTCTGCAAAGGGTACAGGACGTCTGCACCGTATTGAGGGGAGGATGGATGGGGCCATGTATCGCGAGATCTTGGCCAACAACCTCCTTCCCTCAGTAAGAGCATTGAAGATGGGTCGTGGCTGGGTCTTCCAGCATGACAACGACCCGAAACACACAGCCAGGGCAACTAAGGAGTGGCTCCGTAAGAAGCATCTCAAGGTCCTGGAGTGGCCTAGCCAGTCTCCAGACCTGAACCCAATAGAAAATCTTTGGAGGGAGCTGAAAGTCCGTATTGCCCAGCGACAGTCTTGAAACCTGAAGGATCTGGAGAATGTCTGTATGGAGGAGTGGGCCAAAATCCCTGCTGCAGTGTGTGCAAACCTGGTCAAGACCTACAGGAAACGTATGATCTCTGTAATTGCAAACAAAGGTTTCTGTACCAAATATTAAGTTCTGCTTTTCTGATGTATCAAATACTTATGTCATGCAATAAAATCCAAATTAATTACTTAAAAATCATACAATGTGATTTTCTGGATTTTGGTTTTAGTCATACAATGTGATTTTCCGTCTCTTACAGTTGAAGTGTACCTATGATAAAAATTACAGACCTCTACATGCTTTGTAAGTAGGAAAACCTGCAAAATCGGCAGTGTATCAAATACTTGTTCTCCCCACTGTATGTCATTAATTTTGACGTTAATTGCACAATTTTACATCTACCTAAGATGTTTGGTGCAGTATTTCTCAGTGAAAAGATTTGCATGAAAGCGATTCATCTCTCGTTGAATGACAACAAACACTTCATTGAAGAATCCCTACTGTTGACCAATCACTGATGAAGGGTTGTACACTTCGGCTACCGACTTCGGCTTGCATCTGAATTTTTTGTTTTGTTTACAAGCAGCCGAAAAGAAAACTTGCCGAAGACCAAAACGAACAAAAACGTCACCAAATGTTGTCAGAATATATGCACAAACTGTTCCGAACTGTTTCGGAGGGAAGCATGCGGACGCTTTCAGACATAAAATGCAAACACAAACCAACACACACCTCTGCAAGCACTTGGACCATCTCCTAATACTGTTTCGTTCACATGAGGCAAACATTATCTTTCTAATTCAAACAACATAGTGTTACTTGAGTTGGAACACAGCACAGTCATAATGATCATCAGGTCATAAATACCCCAAAAATGTGAAATCAGCAAAGGGAAAAGTATCTTAACCACAGTATTTCCATAGTGTCTGATAACTACCATGTGTCTATAGATGAAAAAGAAAGATGAAAGGGGAGAATCTCTGGAGCCATACATTCAGCACAGTAATAATGTCTGGAATTTTCACTGCATCTTTTCTTCTCTCTCATTTTTTTTAAAGACTGAGAAAAGAAGCAGATATGGGGTATGGTAAAATTACAGGCATCTGAGCCGACAGATACACAGAAATCGTGAAGGGTCATTTCATGCAGGCAGATCACTTGACAGTTTGCTCTCTGGAGGGTCCTAGGGGCCATTCAGGTTGGCGGTGGACCTCCAGGCCCCAGCCTTAGTACATGGGGCTACAGATGGTTGGGGTGTGGCCAGGGAGAGTCAGGCTGACCCCTGTGAGAGCATTAATCTCCATTAAAGATTCCCTGTCAACCTCAACCTGGCTGTGGCTACATCTCCTGGCTGCAGTCACAGGAGCTACGTCTAAAACCCACCTTGAATATCTGATGAATATGATTAGCACAAGACATAGCTGAACAGGAAGATGCATACAGTTTATACACTGAATAGCCTGTAGAGATGACCATTGTCATGCATATAAAATCCCTTTTTGACACATTGAGTTACACAATGATACATCAAGTGGAATGTAGGTGGTATAACTCCCCAACTAAAGTGAAAGCAAATCATACATCATTATAATCACTGAAGTTCTCAGTGGTAAGGAGGACAAAAGAGTCTGCTCCTGCCATTATCCACACCAGGCTTTTCTGACAGGTGCTAACAGGAGTTACTGTATGTAGTCATCATCTCTACTAGCTTTGTACTGCAACAGTTCACACTGTGAATGGGTTCCATAAAGCACATATCTCCCAGACTGATTTAACGTGGCTTCACTCAGCTAGCACTGCATGCTACCTTGAAATAAAGACATATTTCACTGCAACAGGACACTAAGTCATGGTGGCTATTGTAATGTGAGTGTTAGAGTGATCCAGGATGGGGAGTAGAAAATCTACTTTCTCCATCAGCACTTGAATGGGTGTTCTCTGTTGAGAATTTGAGTAGGAAACGGGACGAGGTAGGAGTGATCTCATGTCAGAATCTCTCCTGTCATTTTGAGGGGAACAAAGGACATGGACACACACACACCTACACCCCACCCCATGGGAACAGCATACCTGCCGAACCTCAGGACACAACCAATAACATGGGGATTAGGATTGTAAAGCACTTGGTCATAACATTTCCCCCTTATTGGAACCAATGATACATATAAACCCTGGATAGCTGACGCTACGTCTTGGCCAATAAGAGCCTTTGAAGCCAACGGGCCACCATTATCATACTCCTCCTTTCAGGGCTTTGAATAATGGAAGTGACGATATCCCCACACAAAATAGCCAACTTGTCAACAATGCCACGATGTGTAGCATATGGATGCAGCCAGCACCAATTCAAGGGATATGGAAAGACATTTCATATGTAAGTATCAAAATGATTTGTGTAGAAAATGTACTTTTTGGTCTATTTTTGAGAGACACACTGCTCCTGACAGCTTGTGGTACTGTGTAACCATACAGTAGCAACGCATGTAAGCAAGTGTCTGTGTATGCTAGCTAGCTTACAAAACGATAACCCATTGTTGATGTTATTAAGCATGGATGAAGTGGTGATACGTGTACAATTTTACTGCTGTTCTTATGAATTTCCTAATAGTCCTTCTGTTGAACAAATATTGTGCATTGACAATGAATGTAGTTAACGTTAGCAGCCAGGCTACTACTACATAAAGTATACAAAAAGGCCACCAGTGAACCCAGTGTTTTTTAGAGTCTGAGCGAACCAGTTTCTACGTTATATTGTACTAAGAGTCATATATTGATCTTGACTATTGCAATTTCTTTTTACTGGCTTCATGGGGGAGTAACTTTACATCAGATTGATCTTAAATTGGTCAGCAATATTGAAAACCTATTATTATGGGATCATGCATTAACTTCTCCAGCTTTACATTATAGTAATCGACATCGTGTTCACTTTGTAGTGTAGAGTTGTTTGTATTTCAACAGCTACAGGTTTTGGAAGATACTTTTTTTTTCATTACAGACACTAATACATACTTTTTCTAAACAATACATAGAATTGTATGAACTGAACAGAACATTTTGGAATTGTATTACAGAGTTATGTTGCAGTCCCCACTACAACAAATATATACTTAAATGCATGTATTTTTGTCCTTGAAACATTATATTGGAATACTGTAAATTCTCATTAATTCCTGTGGAGGCTGATCCTTATAAGGAGTATCATAGTGACTTCAGAACAGCGCCCCCTGTCAGTCATCTAGTGAATAAATACAGTGCCTTCAGAAAGTATTCATACCCCTTGACTTATTCCACATTTTGTTGTGTTACAGAAATACAGAAATATCTAATTTACATAAGTATTCACACCCCTGAGTCATTACTTTGTTTGAAGCACCTTTGGCGGCGATTACAGCTTTGAATCATCTTGGATATGTCTGTATCAGCTTTGCACATCTGGATTTGGGGATTTTTTCCCTTTCTTTCTTGCAGATTTTCTTAAGCTCTGTTACATTCGTAAGGTCATTTGCACTCTGTAGCAGGTTCTCATCAAGGATTTGCCTGTATTTCTCTCCATTCATTGTTCCGTCTATCCTTACCAGTCTCCTAATCCCTGCCGCTGAAAAGCATCCCCATAGAATGATGCTGCCACCACCATGCTTCACGGTAGGGATGATGTTAGACGGGTGATGAGCTGTGCCTGGTTTTCTCCAGACATAGAGCTTTGCTTTCAGGCCAAAAATGAGACCACAGAATCTTTTGCCTTTTGATCTCAGAGTCTGTCATGTGCCTTTTTGCAAACTCCAGGCGTGCTGTCATGAGGCTTTTTCTTAGGAGTGGCTTGTGTCTGGCCACTCTCTCATTAAGCCCAGATTGGTGAAGTGCTGTAGAGACTATTGTCCTTCTGGCAGGTTCTCCCATCTCAGCGAAGGAACTCTGTAGTTCTGTCAGAGTGGTCAATGGGTTCTTGGTCAGCTCCCTGACCAAGGTCCTTCTTGCCCGGTTGCTCAGTTTGGTCGGACGGCCAGCTCTAGGCAGTGTCTGGGTAGTTGATGATGGAGACCACTGTGTCTTGGAAACTTTTAACACTCTAGAAATTGTTTTATACCTTTCCCCAGATATATGCCTCATCACAATTCAATCTCGGAGATCTACGGACAGTTCCTTGGACTTCATGGTATAGCTTCTGCTCTGACATGCACTGTCAACTGTGGGACCTTATATAGACAGCTGTGTTTCTTTCGAAATCATGTCCAAACAATTGAATTGGCCACAGGTGGACTCCAATCAAGTTGTAGTGACATCTCATGGATGATCAAAGGAAACTGGATGCACCTGAGCTCAATTTGGAGTGTCATAGCAAAGGTGTGTGAATACTTGTGTAAATGAGATATTTATGTATTTCATTTTCAATAAATTTGCAAATACTTCTAAAAACATGTTTTCACTTTGACATTATGGGGTATTGAGTGTAGATGGGGGGAAAAATAAAAATTTAATCATTTTGTAACACAACGTAAGGTGGGATATGTCAAGGGGTATGAATACTCTCTGAAGGCACTGTACATATCATTGATTGGAACACTAATGTCTTGGATAATGAAATCATGCTTGTTGCTTTCTGAAATGTATTGTCGCCTCTGAAATAGGGGGGAAGGGGAGGTAGACGGCGCACAAACACACACACACACACACACACACACACACACACACACACACACACACAGACACACACAGACACACACACACACAGCTATGATACATGTGTTTATTTTAGGGAGTGTGTGTCTCCACTCTTTATGAGTTTTGACTGTGCGTGTCAGGCCTCTAAACTCCCAAATGTGCCCTTTTCTCAAGGACAGGCTGTTGCCTGGGCAACAGGAGCCCCTACCATGAAGGACCACACCGTCCCGCATGCTGCATCCAGAGCTCCGAGCTGTGATCAGAGACACTGCCTAGAACAGGAGGAGGAGGGAGAGGAGGAGGACCTCCAGCAGACACCCAGGGTGTTAGGGTGTACAGATGTAGGATCTTAATTGACCTATGACCTATATTGTCACAGCAAAATAATCCTGCAGCAACAGGATTTGAACGTTAAGTCCATAATGCTGCTTGATCGATGGTTAGGCTATTATCTGGCCAAAAGTAGGCTACATGAAAAGTGCCACACTGTTAACATAACCATGTGTTACTGTGGGTCTTCAGTGAAATTATGAAAATCACAAAGCTCATCTGCATTTCCTGAGATGCAGAAAAATTCTCAGCAGCAGAAGAGTGATCAAATTAAGATCCTACATCTGTACATGACACTAAGAGGAAGTAAAGGGCAGTGAGGACAGGACTGAGCAGGGATTATGGCTTTAATTTTTTTATGTACTTCCCCCAAAAAAACATTTTTACGACTATACTTTATGATTAAATTACAAAGGGACTCTCTAAAGATATCAATGTTTCAACACATTGCAGCTTGGGCGACATTCATTGAATTCTAGTCAATTATTTGTTTATTGAAATAATCCGTATTAAAATCACTGGGCAGTATATTTCTACCTAGCGCTTAACAAAACAAACTGGCTGTGGGTATCCCGGGTAGGTGAGAAGCATGCAGGGATGGATCTTTTGTTGCCCAGAGGCAGATGCAGGAAATAGCTGACAGAAGCTGTCTGTACTGTTTGCTCGGGGAGCGGGGGGGGCTTCCGTCTAGATCTGAGCGAGATCTCTCAGTCTAGACTCTCCTCGGTCTCGTTTTCAAAGCTCAGGTAGTCTCCTCGCGCTCTCGCGCCCTCTGAGCTCTGCTCCCATTGCGTCGCGGGTCCGCTCTCTCTCTTCTCGCTCGGCTCTCTCTCTCTCTCCCTCCCTCCCTCCCTCCCATCCCTCCCCTCCCTCCCTCCCTCCCTCCCCCTCCACCCAAACAAAGCCAGTGAGCAGGTACCAGCCAAGCCCGGCCCTCAATGACAGAGGCTCCCCAAGGTGGGGTCTGTATGATGGACAGGTGGCATAAAGGGACTGTGTTGCCTGTCACTGGAGACAAGGGGCCGACACAGGGGAGTGGGAGGGAGGAGGGGCCACATTGCAAGGAGCAGCTGGCGTCGAATCCTGCCACTGTCCCTGTGTAACCCTTCGACATACACACACACACGCACACAAACACACACACACATCCACAGCAAGACACCTCAGGCAAAGGACAAAGATAAACAGTGCCGTGAGCAAGACCCTGGGTATCATGTCTATAAACTGTCTCATATCTGAAACCTCCTATCCCTAGAGTGTATTTACTAGAGATTATATCACTTCTGACCACAAGGATTTAATGAGACAATGGGGAGTCTGAATTCTATGATCTATTCAATCTTCAACAGAAAAAAAAACAGCTGCACCGAGCCCACCTAGTCACACACACACACACACACACACACACACACACACACACACACACACACACACACACACACACACACACACACACACACACACACACACACACACACACACACACACACACACACACACACACACACACTAACATGCATGCAAAGTATGTCCCATCAAAAAAAGAATATCGATATTTTAAGTTGTGGTCATCATGCTATGATGTACTTCATGTAGAGTATTTCAACAAACAGAAGTTTCCTTGTCCACCTACGATAAATACTGCTAGGCCTGTCCAGTTTATACATATCATTTTGAAGTATTATGTTGGCAAGGAACCATCTTGGC